CCTGTGCTTCGCGCCTCCGTCATTCTGGATGTCAAGAAGCTTCACGACGACATCCGCGCTCACATCAATGACGATCCCGCTGCCGTCTCCGGCCTTTCCGCCGAAATCTGGCAACTCATCGCGCTGGAAACTCGATGACACTGGTCTCTTACGCTATGACGATCGAATCTGGGTACCACTCGTCTCCGGTGCGTCTCCGGAGTTGCGACTTACTGTACTCCGACACCATCACGACCATATCCTCTCCGGTCACTTTGGCCAAAATCGTATTCTCGCTCTTGTCCGACGCGAATACACCTGGCCAGAACTCAGAACCTTCGTCAAGGACTACTGTGCATCTTGTATCACGTGCAAGCGCAACAAGAAGCCAAGGCATCGACCTTATGGTCTGCTAAAGCCTCTCCCCGTTCCTCTCCGTCCCTGGGATTCTATCTCTATGGACTTCATTGAGCAGCTCCCCACATCCGGTGAATTCGATACCATTCTAGTCATCGTTGATCGTGCCTCCAAACAGGTCATTTTGATTCCGTGCGACACTCACATTTCGTCTCCGGAGCTCGCTCGACTTTTCCTCATTCACGTCTTCTCAAAACACGGAGTCCCTTCCCACGTCACTTCTGACCGCGGAAAGGAATTCGTGTCCTCTTTCTTCCGTTCCCTTGGAGAACTACTCAACATGGAACTCCATTACACTTCGGGTTATCATCCTTCAGCTGATGGGCAAACGGAGCGCATGAACCAAACTGTTGAGCAATATATTCGCATCTATTGTTCTTACCAACAGGATGATTGGCACGAGTTACTGCCGATCGCAGAGTTCGCACTCAATAATGCTCCTAACGCTTCTACTGGCATATCACCCTTCTTCGCGAACAAAGGCTACGATCCCTCTATTACGATTCATCCAGAGCGTGATGTGGCTAATGTTTATGCTAAGGACTACGTCGTCGATCTCCAAGAGCTGCACGAGTTCCTCAAGGAACAGATCAAGTACGCTCAGGAGCAATACAAAGAGACTGCGGACCGGAAACGCATTCCCGGATCCGTCTCCGTCTATTGGTGATGAAGTCTTTATCTCGACCAAGTACATCAAGACCAAGCGTCCGACTCCGAAGTTCTCGGAAACGCATTTTGGTCCCTTCGAGATCATCGGAAAGCCCAGTGCTGCGTCCTATCAAGTCCGTCTCCCGAAATCCCTTTCTCAAGTTCATCCTGTCTTTCATGTTTCCCAAATCGAAATCCACACACCCAACAAGTTCCCTGGTCGCGAAGAGCCACCACCTGCGGCAATTGAAGTCGATGGAGAAGAACACTTCGAAATCAAACAGATTGTTGACTCCAAGATTGATCGCCGTTTCAAGGGTCCGGCTCGACTCCGCTATCTGGTCGAATGGCTTGGTTACGAAAAACACTGATGAACAATTCACTTGGGTTGGTGCACCTGACTTGGAAGCTGAAGAATACATCGAATCCTTCCATCGTCAATACCCCAACAAACCCAAACTGGATTAATGTCACACCGGATTTACGAGATAAGGAAAATTATTATTCTATTTTACATTACGACTCTAATCTTCGTCGTTGTCGTTTCCGTCTCCGAGGCGTCTCCGTCTCCGCTACTCGGCTCTTCCCTTCCCTTTGTCAACCCTCGGGGGCTCCTCGTCCACATCCATCGCATCATCTTCTTCGACCTCTTCCTGCTCTTCCTGCTCTTCCTCGTACGGCTCGCCCTCAGCATCCTCCGACTCCGACTCATCCGCATCCCGACATTTCTGGCCTTCTCGTTGGATGAAGACGTCCCAGTGTTGCAGGGTCTTGTCGATTCCCTGTAGACGCTCGTCCAGTTGCTCGGGTGTGGTCGACGAGTTGATCGCGCCCGACGTTGAAGCGCAACTCGCGGCCAAGGTTTTGCAGTCCCATGATCACGCGGTTGAGCTGCCGGTGATCAGTCCGCTGACGCATCAGCAGATTGGCCATCATGGCGGAGATCCCCGTTGCTGGGGTTGGACCTGGCGTTTCCGCTGGCGTCTCCGCGGGCGACTCCGCAGAAGCCTTCCTCTCAACCACCCTGGGCACCACAATCCGTGGCCCCGCAACCTTCTTCTTCTTCCCCTTCTCCTTGACCATCCCAGCCTCCTTCTCGTCTTTGCGGAATCGCAGCGGGGGGTTTCCGTCCTCGCAGCGGACCTTGAGCTTGCGGCAATTGTCGCAAGACAACCCTCCCGTGCCAAGTCGTATTGGGCTTAGGTTCGCTCCAAACGCACTCCTTGCCCAGCTTGACACACTTGGCGCATTTCTCTGCCAAAACGGGTCAGGTTCATATTCTAAAGTCAAATTCCGCACTTACTTTCGTCCCCGACGTCTTCTGCACCTGACCTATCGGTCTGGGCCTTGTCGGCGTTCTCGGCGGCTTCGGGTTTATCCGCCACCTTCTCGGCGACATCAGCCGAATCGGGCTCCACGGGCGACCGATCGCGCCTCGTGACTCGGCGACCGACTCGGGCATTCGCCTCGGCTTCCTCGGCACGCGTCAGCGGCGCGAGTCCGCGCTCACGGCGTGCGTTGACCCGCTCTCTGGCCTTTTCGGCTTGGGCTTGGCGCCGTCGTTTCTTGTCTTCGGCTTTCTCGGCCTCTCTTTTCTTGTCCTCGGCCTCGGCTCTCTGGCGTTGGTTCAGAGCCGCCTGCTGGTCGATTTCGCGACGCCGCTGTTGTTCTGCTGCCATCGCTAGCAGCGCATCGTGATCAGCTGGTGTCCACACCATGGGTGCCACTGCGGACCCGTGCTCCGACTCCTCCTCGTTGATCGGCTCGTTGTCGATCGGGTCGTCAGGGTCGTACGACTCCGACCGACCACCCGGTGACGGTGCTCGCGGAGCCGTTTCCGCCAGTCGCGCGCGGCAACTCTTGCGCCCTGCGCTCCAGCTCCTCCAACTCCCTCCGCATGTCTACGCGTCGGTTACTACCCGACGGTAACGCGTCAGCCAAGGGGTCACGATCTCGTCCCTCAACCCACTCATCGACCTTTTCCGTCTCCGACAGTTCGTCTACGCGCTCCACCTCGGACTCGAACAAGTTCTTGGGGTTCTTCTTGGAGTGGCGTTTTGGCGACATGGTGGGTGTGGGTAAAGATGAAAAGATTGATGTCAATCGGTGACGTGCTTCTTGTCACCCCTTTCCTTTTTCGTCCTCCTTGCTATTATCACGTTCTCACCGGCTTCCTCGGTGATCTCGGCCTTTCCGGCTTTCGACTCAAAATTTTCACAAGTCCAACTCTGACTCCGACTCTCTCTGATTCCGACTCCTACCTCTACGACTATTGCTCCTGTTTCTTGTGGGCAAGAAACGCAAGAGGGGGATACTGTTATATCCGTGCCGACTCCGGCATCCGTCTCCGATATCCGTCTCCGGTATTTGGTTTTTACGCAATGAAGATTTACTGAGCGTTTCCAATTACTCCGACTTATGATCTATGCAATCATCTATGCCTTGTTCCTCGTATGCAACTCCTCTTCTACTTTACTTGACCTTGTTCTAATCTTGTTACTTACTTTGTTATACCTTATTCCGTTTCCGTTACTTCTCGTACTATAAATACTTTGATGTATTATCACGTACTTCAGTTTGTAAATTAACGTTGCTGGTCTCTATCTCCCAGCGTCGTCTCGACTCCGCTCTTCTCCTCTTGTCTTGTCTTGGTCAACTGGAAGCCCCGGTCACCCAATCATCCTTCTGTGGTGTTCCGCCCCAAGTGCTCTACGACTTCGATTCCGTCTCCGACTTCGACTCCGTCTCCGTCTCCGTCTCCGTCCCTTTGGTCGACACGGCACTTAACACCATCACACCTTATATACACAGGCCCGCTGAGGGGTCATTGACTCTTGGTCTCTCCTAATCCTTCCTTTGTCCCTGTCCTTGGCTTCAGAGAAGATCATTGTCAATCACGTGAGAAAAGGCGGTATAGGGCTAAATTTGTGTGGAGTTTACTTGCACTGAGACATTCAGGGGGTGAATTTTATTTGGCTTCAAGCTTGACCAGTTCTCATGGTATGCCTTGGAAGTTTAGATATTCTGATAGCTCTAGGTATTCTCTTTCAAATGATGCCCATTTTTAGCTACTGGAATCATCATTCGCAAATTTAAATGACTGACAAGGAGGTATGGTTACATGATATTCATGTGCATTGGTTTGTCATCCGCGGTCCGCGGATAAATTTTGATGCTAAACTACAGGATGGAATTAACACTGCACAAGCTACCCCGCTGACGGCGGATTCCTAGTATATCCCTTATGGGCTAGATGCTACTCCTAACCTCCTGGCACCACTCCCCAGTCCCCTTGTGTCATGAGTTGGGCTTGGCAATGGCTCGACACACTGTTCTCAATCACATGTTTGATGATGTTTCCTATGTGTGTATTCCTCCCTACTGAAGTGCCTGTTCCCCATTATCACATGCTATATGTTGCAGGACCTAAGTGGCCTGTCAGAGCAGACAGGCTGGGTCTTATCCGTAACAAGGCCAGACATGCCTCAGATGCACTCAGAAGATTTAAGGAAGTGGAAAGTGGACTGGTTACAGTCCACTATCAGGCTGTGTATTGTCTTCAGCTCAACAGGCCACATATGCAGTCAAAAGTACTCTTCTAACTCTTGATATTGGTGTGCATATACTCAATAGTATATAAATAGCCCTGAGACCTATGCTGGGCCTTCTTTGCCATAATGTTTCACTTTCTTGGACACCTTTACAATCAAACCCTTACCAATTCCTTAGCCAGTGAATCAGGGAATATATTAGGTGTCTAGTCATTGTTCTGCACTGTTTCCGAGTCTCTCAAGGGTTCACAAACATGTAGTCTCAAAACTTTTGTCGGGTATGATTTACAACAGGTCCGGCAATCAAGAAGTCCCCGTAGGCACTGCAGACTCCGCGATCGCTTACCAATTGCTTTGTAAGCGATGTTTTTCCTTGGAGGGAATTGACACGTGAATGAGGAATGCTCGACCGCTATCGTCGTGTTCCCGCGACTACAACCCCCCTCAAACCCACAGACAACGTCAACGTCAACCCCACCATATTCTACCTTTGACGATCGGGGCATGCATAATCCTCCTGCAGATTACGAACCAGAAGCTGAGGAGGCTAGTGGGAGTACGAGCGTAGGCAAGAGAGAGCAGAGAGATGAAGGAAGGGTCCCAACTTGGCTAAAAGGTATCGTGCGATCTTCTTGAGGAGGCTGGATTTCTTTGAACCATGAAAGCAAACTCTCCATTTATCTCACCTCCCCCGCCGCCGCCGCCTGAAAGTGGCAAGAGAAGAATAAGTGATACTGAAAGTATGACCTTCTTCCTCTCTTTTACTCAGACGTTTAACACTGATACTAGGGGCCGAAGAACGACAAGTGGCACAACGAAGTAGATGGCAAGCGTTGCTGTTAGAAGCAGGAGGTTTGAGTGCCGCATTGAGCGATGAGAGTATGAGGAGGCTCAAGTATTGTTTACAGTGGTTGCAGGTTCGTCTTCATGACACCAACGAACAAGACTTATCAGATCCACAGTATGCAACGCAACACATCGACGCACAAATACTCATTCTACGTGACTTCATTGCATCTCTGCAACCTTCCCCCCTAACACCATCGTCCACCACTACGCCCAGTGCCAACGTCACAGATCCACCAGAATTAACGCCAGATCATCTCAAAACTCTCGCACATCTCCGCAGTGATATTGTGCAGACAATCAGACAGGTGGTCGGGGTTGTTTCTAAGTATGCTGGTAGCGCATTGCCGGAGCCAGCCCGCAGCCGGGTGAGAGGCTTTATCTTGGATTTGCCGAAGAAATTCGGGGAGGGAATGGGCGCGTCTGAAGGAGAGCCCAATGCGAGCACTAGTGGGTCGACTTCGGCTTCCTCAACTACCACCTCCAGAAGAAGAACTGCCAGACGGGAACGGGGTTCTACGGCCACGGAATCGCATCCAAGCAGTCCAATTGCTTCGCAACCAGGGAGTCCTCATGTTCACCTGCGAGGTCTATCGCACACTACACACGCGCCGTATCCTAGCCATTCTCGACGTGGGTCTTTGGCCAGTGCTGGATCAGTCGAAACGGGTCGAGCCATCGGAGCAGCACAGAGAGTGTTAACTCTTGCCACCGAGAGTCTTGACATGATGAGAGGAGTAACCGCGGTTGTTGGGGAAAGCCTGGACAGGGCTGACGTGTATGTTTTACCATCTTTACGGTTGTTGTGGTGGTGGCTAACATGCTGTTGTAGATGGGTCGACCGACTTCGCACCGTTGGCATCCGGCGTGGCATGGATGGAATCGCATTGCCGGGCCCGAATGCAAATCTCACCTCTGAACAGTCGCAAATACCAAGAGAGAGGTGGTCTAGCGTGCGTGATAGTCCTGGCACAGGAACTCCTTCGTCAAGATTCGGAAGTGGGGCGACTAGTAGTCCCGGTTATGTCTTGACGGATGGAGCATCAAGTCCTGGCGCATCTGGGCTGGCTGCCATGAGTCTGGGGGAGAAACCGAATGGAGGAGGACATAACAACAACAACGAAAAGGATGAATGATGGATAAATTTGTGGGGTTATTTTTCTTTTCACTCTTCGCATCTCTTTGAGCCTTTGGTTCACAGCTCACTGACCAGCACTGTACTCACCATCCACACTACTAGATACACACTCGTTCTTTCTCGATACCTTGCCAATCTTTACACTTGAACTCAAGTGGCTTGAGTGCTTATCTAGACATCGTGCGGTTTTTGGGGCACTTGGATGCATGTGTTTATTTCGAACCTTTGGGGTGATGGCCGCGGCCACGCTAGATAAGATTAGATAAGCAAATTCCACCTGTTTGATTGAACTCGATGTACTTATTCCTCCATAATCAGTCCTTACGGCGACAAGACACTGACATGGACTGACTGCCGACTGCAGAGATCCACTGCTGGCATGACATGTTCTCTGAATGTTCTAAGTACTTATCTCTTGCGTACTCAGGCTGGAATATTCCTTAGCATTATATTATACGATTCAGAGTATAATGCATTCAGACTCAAGGAGTACTACACTCAAGCGGCTATATGCATTACATATGCATACTTGAAGCTCACGTTCAAAGAACCTTTTCGATCAATTTTCGATGCAAACCTGATCGCGAATCGTGATCAGATCAAACTGTTCTCATCATGTTCTCACGTGCAGCACTTTTGACACGAGCTGTTTTTCTCCTTCATCATCTTGACGATTGTTGTTTTTGGGATGGAATCTTGCCTAAAATGTGGCGTCCCCACCCTAGGACGACCTTTTCAACTGCCAGAACCGGCGGAGGAGGATCAGTTTATGCAATTTTTGTCGTCCAACGAGCCTCCGGGGGACGTAGTTTTGCCACTACTTCAAGCATCGTCGGCAGAAACGGATGTTCTACTCTCGCAGATCGACTCCTATAGCGCTTACTTTCTTGATCGACTTACAGAGCTTCAAAACAGACGTGCTGCACTGGAGGCTCGGCGGGAAATCCAGAAAATGGTACTTTCACCGTTGCGACGCGTCCCGATGGAGGTTCTAGCTAGCATCTTCCATTTCTCACTTGATTCAAAGTTCCGTGAAAGCTCATGGAGCATCAATACGACACGAACTCGTTGGAGTGTACTTGATGCACCATGGGTTTTCAGTCATGTCTCACGCTCATGGCGGGCTGTTGCGCTGGGAACACCAACATTGTGGAACCGAATTACTTGCTATCCCATTCCCCATCCTCGACTTTCCGTTTCCGCTGTTTATCCTCTTCAAATGCTGCAAACACAACTCGAGAGGGTGGGAAAGACGACACCACTCATGATTGCTTTCACTGGAATGCAATTGGCTTACTGGGAGGAAGGCGAAATCCATTACCAGGGAGAGCTTCTCGCAGCTTTAGTTTTGCGGGCCGAACAATGGCAAGAAGTGTACTTGGGCATTCGACCCAGAGCTCTTGCCACCTTAGAGCAGCTGCGCGGTCGGCTGGGCTCTCTCAAGCGATTGTGGTTACTGTGTGCTCCAGAAGATGCTCATACTGTTGCTTCTCTAAGTTCCCTGACTTTCTTGCGAAACTCTCCAGCCTTGATAGATGCTGGGGTTGAAGGTGATTGCTCGCCATTCGCTCTAGGAATGGGCAATGTACCATTTTTGCCTGTCCATCAGTTGACACGTTATGATATGGTCTGCTCTTGGCCGGTACATGCTGTGCTTCTTGCTCAAACTGGCGCGCAGCTGGTAGAAGCCCGTATCTTGCTGCCCTCGACCGATGCTTATACCTCATGGCCAGTCAATTGGCGGGCGGGGACTATTTCTCAATCATCTGTCATATGCCTCCCTGCTTTGGCTCGTCTATATATCACCCACCTCGACATTCTCGATTGCATTGAAACACCCAACCTGAGAAAAATTAGCCTGCAGCCCTACTCGTATGCTTCCGGACGGATGATCAGTCAGTCTCGGTCGATACGTTCTTGTCATGGGATACTCGAAGATCTTCATTTCTCTGGAGAATTTGCATCCCTTGCGGTGCCGGACATGCTGAGGCATATAACGTCCCTCCGAGAGCTCAAAATCACCTTAACAAATGTCCTTTCTGAAAATGCTTTCCGCAATCTTTTGTCAGGTTTAACGTTCCACCCTGAGGCTCCCGACGAGACCCTTGGCAAACAGTTGCGTGGTATTCACTTCAACGAGTTGCACCACGACGGAATCGCCACTGTGTATGGTGACATAATCAAAATGTTGGAATCGCGGCGCAGTCATGAAGGCACCCAATCCATTTCAATGCTTGTACGGGCAACGATCATTAACAGTGAGATGTTCTCCGTACCCAAGAGCACCTGGACCACCTTCAACAAGCAGCTGAAGCAGGCCCAAGAATTTGATTTCCAAGCCCTGAGCGGATCCAGTTTTCAGAAGGAGTGGACGTTTGGGGCAAACTGGCATGTATAGGATGGCGATGATGTGGAGATACCATCGGTGATTTGAGACGGCATCATTCACAAAGTCGAACCGTGTCGAAATCTTGTTGAACGTTAGTTTTGGAGTCGAATAAAGGAAACGCTTGGCATGAGGATTCGAATCAGTTTGGTGGAACAAGTTCTTACTTACAAGTTCAACTGAGCTCTGAGTCCTTGTTGAATTAACGTGTTTATTGCAAGACAATGCGAGTTGACTTCGTTCACAACCACGTCAAATGATTTATGAAGAAGAGAGCCAAGATTGATAAAAATGGAGCGTAAGAGGAAAGTCCGTTTCGAATTTCATTCTCTGATGGCGCTGTGACCACTCTTTCTTCCGCACCCTTCATCTAGCTTGTCTCTTGATCCAGAATCAGCGTCTTTCCTTTGGGCTCTCCCAACGCCCTTCACCACGAGACTGAGCCTTGCGAGGTACTCGGCGGGTGGACCCATTACTCGACGTGTTTTGAAACGGTTGCTTCAAACCCGTGACAATGCAGAGTCCTCTTTTGCACCAGGTTTCGTCTCTTCGTGATTCGCTTCTTTGCGAGGCACCGAGTCACCATCCATACCCGGGTCCGAGCCTCTCAGACGGGCTGCGTCCTCGCTTAGCCATTCCTCCGCCGCTTTCCAGCCTTCGTCCCGACAACGGCAGTATTCTCACCTCCACCCTCCTCGACGTTGGAAATACCAGCTCTTTTTCCGACACTCAGCCGCTTTCTAAATCAGATCAGGACCTGGCACACTATCTCGCTACTTCAAATCATGTTCTCGATGGATCAATGCAGAGAGATTCGACAATGCTGAGCAGCGATTGGAGTGTTCATTCCATTGGGTCCATGTTTGAACGTGGGGGAGACCACCACCAGCAATCATGGGGTAACCTTGATCCCTCTCCTCCAACACCCTTGACGGCCGTGTCACCGTTGGCTGGCAATGCACTGAAATTGTACAGTCCACATGCAGATTACTCGCTACACCAAGCTCGCCGCAGCTCTTGGTCATCTTCTTCACAATCTCTATCCAACCCAGCATCGCGTCGGGGCTCCGTTTCTTACCAGTCGCCCGTCATTCCTGAATCGCGGAGAAATTCCATGTCGTATCAGCATTCTCCAGCGCCAGGTCTCCCGCCGCTTGGTCACCCTTTACCATCGTCCCTTCTCCGCGTCAATGTCAATACATCGCCTCGAATTCCGATCTCGCCTCATCTACAGCCCCAAATTCTACCCGCCAGAACTTCGGTCTGTGTAGAGCCTGGTTCGGTTTCGTTGGAGTTGGACGGCGAGGCAGATCATGGTTCGAGCTATCCAGAAGAGGAGCGTTTCGTCAATCTCTCTGATTTGTATTCGCATTCAGAGCCGACCGAGGGTCGTCGCAAGATGGTCCTTCGTTCTCCTCCAGCTTCTAAAAGCTCCGCGTCCGTTGTCGTTTGCGATTCGTCAAGTCCCAGAGGCCTGAAACGTCCAGCGGAGGCAGATGACCTGGAACAACCTTCAAAGCGCCATTGTGATAGCGACAAAGATAAGCGCAGGGCGGTCGGCGAAGAAGATTTGGAGAGTGCTGTTTCAGACGACGAGTCCTACGAGTCGGAGGTCTCAGATGATGAAGAGTATGAAGACACCGATGACCAAGAATTCATTCCTGGCCGTCGTTCTACCTCTCGTCGCACCGCTCGTCGCCGTGTCAAGCAGGAGCCTGATGATGACTATATCTTGGGACCGAGAGCGCAGCGAATGAGGGTTGGAAAACGAACTGGAAGTGCTGCTGCTGCCTTGAAGGCATTGACAGCGCTTGCATCGGGAGAAAGAGAGTCCATTTCAGTCCCTCCCCCCTCCCGTCTAGCTCCTTCCAGCCAGGCAGACAACGCTCCCGAAGGTTACCCGACCTCTGCGTATTTTCCTCCCTTGCCTAGGATCAAGCAAGACTATGCTCGCTTCCCCCCTCTCAATCCATTGAGCGGTATAAAAGGCCCGGAACCAGTGTATGCGACTCGCTCTGTTTCTGCCTCCGCCTCCGCCTCCGTCACTTCTTATACTTCCATCGCCGAAACTACCAGCCGTACAGCAAGAGGTGCTATCTCCGTGCCAGTGCCAGTGCCCAACCTGACGAAGAAAAGTCGCGGACGCCGAGTACCTATATCGGAAGACCAACAGGAGCGGCCTTTTATATGCCCAGCCGATGGGTGTGGAAAACGCTTTGTGCGCGGAGAACACTTGAAGAGACATGTCAGAAGCATCCACACACATGAAAAACGTAAGTCGTGACCTTAGAGTCAGCAGCATCAATCGACTCGGACTCTAATTTTTTCGCACTTAGCACATATCTGCCCGTACGAAGGATGCGGCAAGTCATTCAATCGACGTGACAACCTCGCACAGCACTCAAGGATCCACTTTGACGACAAATAACGTCTTCCTCCATGGCCCAACCACTCAAAGAATACTCTAAGTCATTGACGCCTCGACGTCCTATTCCTCTTGTATCTACACACTTACTACCACTATCTCTCCTCTCAGCCAAGTTTCCTCATTAAACAGGCTTATTATATCGTACGAATTCGTTAAAGTAAAGTAACATGTCTAGCAGTCCAAATGACCAGTTGCCGCAACCTGAGGTTTGATGAACTGATGTGCCGATGCCTCTTCGTTTCCGTTCCTTTCTTCCAACTTTCTTCCTTGGTTTTCGAACAACTTCTATGCACACTGGACTGGAAGACAAGGAAGTGGAAGTACTTCCGAGACATGCCTACTCCTAAGCCACATCTATAAGATGGCGTTTAGGAACAGGTCAGGGTCAAAATTACTCCATCCCCCCACCTTTTGGCGACGGGTTTGTTGTCTCCTCCGACGAAAATGCTGCTCGTCAACCGCACCTTCTTTTTCCGCTACTCTTCACCTTTACGGGCATTGGTGACGTTTTCAGTCGTGGCCTATCTATTTTACCTGGTGTCAACACTGTCGGGCTACGTTTCTCAAACACCGGCTCCGAGGGAGAGGCCAGCCATAATCCAAATGAAGGAGGAGAAATGGAAACAACAGCATGGTCAGGATGTACCGGCCGGGCTGTCGGTGCAGATTTTGACGGTCACGACTACGTTTGTGGAAGTGCAGACGAAGACGAGGACTGTCCAGGCGCCTCAAGCAACGGTGACGAAAGAGGTCATGATCAAGCCTAAACCGAAGCAGTTGTTGAGAGGGCTTCCGACTGAATCATTTCAAGGTGTGTGGTTGGCTGCTTCATCATTTCGAGGACTAACATGGGCGGAAGATAATCTGTTACCAGAGGTGCAGTACGTTACATCGTGGACGGGTAGCGGTTTCAGTGAGTACCTTGACCTTCTCCAGAAAACATACTAATATTCTGACTAGCGAACGATGTTATGACATTCGTCAGTGATTTTCCATTTCCTGTCGATTTCTCTCTCATCCATTTGAAGATTAATCTCATTTATCTCGGATTACTAACGCAACGAGTACCTGTTCTCCCCCATTTTGCACCAACACACGTCGCCGTCAATCTAGGGGGAACGCATACTGGTCCAGGAATTGACTTTGGAGAGGTCTTCGATATTCCACGATATGTCGAGTTGACCAGCCAGCCCTTATTGGAGTGGTGGCAAATCAAGGATCGTAAAAGCACTACCCTTGATCCGCTGGGTTGTTGGAATGTTTGGGAGTCTGTGAGCCCGATGAACAAAGGACCCCATTGGACCGAAAGCCCATATCGGCTAAACTTGGGTATGATTCGCTTTCCCCCCATGAATCCGCTCAGCGAATGCAGATGTTTCGTATGTGACTGCACCGAGCTGGATCAAACATGCTCCGGAAGATCCAGAGAATTTGCACACCCGTTTCGCGGCCCTCATGTCACTTGGATTCCCCACTCGGCGCAACAAATCCTTGATGGCAGCGTCAGAGTCTCCTCAGCCAGACGATCATATGCTCTGCTTCGACAACATGTATTGGGCCTGCGATCTTGAGCCACATGATATGGTGGAGGACTGGAGTGCTTCTTGGAGACTGGTCGGACAATATTTGCATTGGACGCCCAAGATCGAGGGCTTGGCGGACATGTACCTCAGACATGCCTTTGGCATCTCGAGTAGAACCCCAATTCCGCCATTCATTGCCATCCACGTCAGACGGGGCGACTTGTATGTTGTTTTAATGACCTTTCTTCTTCTTGCATACTAATTTGTGTTCGTAGTGCTGACGCATGGCGGTGCGAAAATGCTCCGACCGAAGAATGCTTTGCCCCGATTTCTGCATATGCTCGGAGAGTTAATGCTATGAAAAGGGAAATACTCGAGACCAAGGGGATCACCGTCAAGCACGCCATGCTTTTGTCCGACGAAGAGGACGAGAACTGGTGGAGGCAGGCAATGGGGACGTATGGCCCTGAAGGTTGGGCACGGGCCAACCACGTCGAGCTGGAAACGGCGAAGATGTATGGAGCCTGGTATCCAATCTTGATTGACGCGGCGATTCAGAGCCATCGGATGTCGATGGGTATTGTGGGCACGCATACGTCCACTGTGTCGATTCTGGCGGGCAAGAGGATCGGTAGCTGGAACAATGGGGCGCCGGTGCAGTTTGTCAAATGGGGGAGGTGGGGACCGGACGACGGTATGTAAAAATAACATTCGTTTTTTGTATCGATAGGCTACTCAAAATTACTAATTTTATGGCGTCGGGCCTTTCGAAGGAACCTCTAGTATATTCTTAGCTGTCTAGCACCCGCCTTGAGGCTCGTTTCCGAGGGAAAGCAAGGTGTACTTCCAAAAAAGGCAAATCACCCCGATCTCAAGATGGGTATAAAAGGGGACGCGTTCCGTCACAGCCAAACCCATCTTGCTTCCTAACCACGTCCTGGTGACGCGATTATCCTACTCTTCACACACCTAACAAATGTCTCAATTCACACAACTCCTCGCTATTGTTCTCGCCGCGCTCAGCGTCCAAGCCATCGTCGTGCCCACCCGCCGCGATGCCCCAGAACCTCGTCCTATTAAGAACGGTTTTGTGGTGCGTTTTCTCTTTTTATCCTTATTTTCCGTTTTATCCATTTTCCTTTTTATTAGAAACGACAAGCGCAAGTTGAGCTCGCAGCCGTCTCGTCATCGTCGCCGTCGCAGAGTTCAGTTCCTGGTCACGTTGATCTTATCGTGCGTCGTCGTTTTTTTGTCTTTTTCTTCTGTTTTTTGACCTGTTTTGGCAGACTTCTAACGGCCAAACGACTGGACATTTGCTCGCAGACTTTGCTCAAGGAAGATTTGACAGCTCGCCGGACACGTGGACTTCGCTGTATCTTGCGTCTCTGAACTCTGACAACACTCGAACTGCGCTCCAAGTTCCGACTGCAAACGGCACTCTTTGCGCGACATTCCAAAAGAAGACTTCATCGTCGTCAACCCCGAAGCCTCTTGGTCTTGCTGATTGCATCGACAATGGCGCAACTTCGACGACAAGCCAGACTTTTGCGTACAACAAGACTTCTGGAGTAATCACGCCTGTTTGGGGAGAAGATCCTGCTACAATTGGCGCTGTACGTTTTTTTTTCTTTTTCTTTTGGCCCAAATATGTTTTTGACTAAATTTCTTTTTAACAGGATACTAACCCGAATGACTATGCTGAACGTCGCCGTGACACTGCGCCGCCGCCGCCGCCAACGAGTGTGACGCTCAAGTTTATTGCTGACTCTGTTTCGTCTTCTTCTTCTTCGAGTTCTGCTGCTGGTGCTTCTGCGACGATATTCAACGCCCAAGTGCAATCTCCGCCGACGTCGTCGATCAGCAGCGCACAGTTTCTTCCGCCGCTGTCTTCAGCTTCCTCGTCAACAGTCGGCTCGGTTTCTTCGTCGACCAGTGACAGCTTCTCGAGCTCGTCCACGCCTTTGATGAGTAATCAAGCTTTGTCACCCAGCGCGTCAGTATCTCCAACTCCCGCAGCCGCAGGTCGTCGTCGTCGAAGACTTTAGAGATCTAATAGCGAACCTTTTTTTGTACAACTTTTGCATCCATTTAATTTTTTACTTCTTTTGACTAAAAATTGTTGCCCATATATAAGACTCAGCTGACTGAGATGCCAATTCACACGTCCCCTTTCTTACCCCACACTACCCCGCACTCTTATGTCTCTCCTTGTTGCACTCCGTGCCCGCTCTCCCATCATGCAGGTTGGAAAGCGCTTTGCCTCTGGCCATGGCGGGGAGTACAAGGTACAGTCTTGGCTGCCCATCGCTCGCCAATGTGACCACCCTGATTGGCCACATAGATCTTCCCATTCAACCACAAGCAAGCCGACTCCCATCCAGCCAAGTTTGCGCTCAAGTGTACTGCGTTTATGAGTGCGGGGTTCTCCATCCCTTTCAGCGCAATCTATTTCCGCTGGTGCGTGCCCCTCGACCCCGAAATCATCACTGGCACTGACTGTGTCTGCCTCAGGCACAAGAAGGGCGGGCTGAAGAACCCTTGAATGTTGTTTGACCACAAGTGTACCATAGATGTATCGCAATTTGGGAATTAACCAATGTTTCGTAAAACCAGTCACCAAACTCTACTGTACACGATGTGGTAGGGATCGTCTTAGACTTGTCTTGTTGTTGTACTGTGATTGCAGTTAGCAGGCTCCATTCGCCGTCGAAATCGATCACCTTGCTTTAGTAAGGTCCCCCCCAGGGTCACAACCTGGCACGAACGATCATGATCCATTGATGGGGACCTAGCCAAACATGTACAAATCAACCCGAACGCCCTGGGCCAAAAAACCCAAAACCTTCGATGAAACCTCGGTGAAAGTCTCTACGTAATATATATTACATAAATATCACCTGTTGTCACCTGTCGTCATTGACAGACCCTCGAAGACTCGAAGTCTCGAACCCTCGGTTCTGCTGAGGTGGCAAGGATATGCAGTAGTCTAGTAGTGTGCATGCTCATATATTTATTGGGTGTAGTCAGATTGCACCTATAGGTGATATAGCTCAAAATGGAAGCTATTATCTGATCTAATCAATTTGTGATGATGTGATGATGGGATAATGTCACAGCTCACAACGCGTCACAGCTGCATTTAGCTATCCTCAATAATGGTTGAAGAAATTTTAGGGTTATTATTCTACATTATGGAACCTGCCCTTTAATAGAAACAATTTAAATACCTGATCTATAATGACATGAAATTTATATAAAGATCAACTAATTGCAGAAACTGGGTGGTCTAGCTCAGAAACACCAAGGAATACACAGAAACATAACAGAATCCTGCTACTAGTGTATTCTGGAATAACAACGAGAGGCAGAGATAATATAATAACATTTCAGCAGATATGCTACACAACACAAGCTATTAATAGCAAAACTACTATGAAGAGTGTACTATACTGAAGTGTATCACTACAACTTGAACTGTCACATAATTATAACACACCTGCATGCAGCACAACAATAATGCCCTAAGCATTATGTGTTACACAGACTTGATACCACAACAATAAAGGCTAAAGTAAGATTTAATAACAGTTTAGAGCTTGACTGTCACAATGTCTCTAGAAGAATGCAAAAATATTAATTAGCTAAGAAACTTTCCAAAATAGACCAGATCTGGCAAGTGTAATCATGATGCACCTGCCCTTTATTGACAAGCCTTGTGTTGTATATTACACTTACAATGTATGTAATAGACTACATGTTATGTGTTATATCAAGGGGGAGAAAGAAAAAAAATTATATAAAAGAAAATTAAAGACTCACAGCTGGACTGACTGACCATAACATGCATGACAATTGCCTATTTAGGCAGGTGTAATTACAGGATTGACTTACCAAGAACTAATGCACATAAACTGTTGTACTATGGCCAATAGTTTTTTGACACAAGAAAAAATTTAGGGATAAAGCTGGTCATTTTTTAGCATAAAAACTGAAGATGAACCTTAAATATCAAATTTATCTACTAATTCAATATGGCATTTGTATAAAGGAAAAGAAAAAAAAAACTAGAGATAAATCTTGAATAAATCTGGACATTTATCTGAAAGAAAGACCTGGGGTTATTCTGCTAGATAAAGCTACAGAAACATGTGCTATTCAATACACAAGTTTATCTGTATCAGAGGAACCTCAGGTTTTTTTTTTACAGATCAATAACCAAATATATCTAAGATTTATCCTAGGCTTTTCTTCCTTTGTAAAAATCACAGATTGCATAAGTAAATATATGTGGCATTTATTAGACAATTTTGCTTCAAGTTTCTCTTTGTATCAAAAGCTACTATCTATATAGCAGTCTCAAGAGGTTGGTGGGATCTTTATCAAGTAACCATTATTAGCCATATGCATGACCTCCTCCCTCCTATATTAGGATATACCTCCCAGATATGTAGATAGTGATTATATCACAAGCTATCAAGACTGCCACCAGCTCTTCTTTCTATGCCAGTGCTGTAGGCAGTCAGAAGTGGTTATCACCAGCACCTCTTTACATGATAACATCTTTGCAACCCATTGATGACTTATATACATCCTGTCACACCAGCCTTACATGACTTAACTGCTATACTAATATTTGGAATAAGAAGAATTACAAACCAAGAAAAAGAGGTGTAGTTAATATAATATAAGACTATTAAACATATAGGAACTACCAGACTATCCAGAGTTTCCTCAATGCCCTTGAGCCATCATCTTGACTATAATGTCCAAATGGAGACATACCAAAGTCACATGCCTGCTCATGGCTGCTTGATAGAGTAATGTCTGTGTCTATGGCTCAGAGCATAATTATTCAATAAAAGATTTTTGCAGTGCCCACACAGCCACTTGCCTGCATTTCGCAGCCAGCAGGCAGTCATCACATTAAATTCATATACATTTACATGACCAAAATATGAATTTCTGCCATTATGCAATTGCCAGCTGTTTTTATATATAAGACAAGTATGAATGTCTGTGTCTATAACATGGGTGAAAATTTAATTGCCATGCCACCAGCTGGAAGCCACAGCTGACAGGGTGGTCATATGTGTGAAATTCATGTACATCCACATGACCAACTCGTGACTTTCTGTCAATGCCAGCATGATAGTGTTTTCATATATAAGATCCTGCTGACCTCTAGATCTGGAGCAGTCTTATCACACAAAAAATAGAGAGATAATTCTGGAATTTCTTCTTGCCTTTCTGCTATAACTTTCCCAAAAAAAGGGGGGATTTCTAGATTAGCCCAGTCTATGTTAATACACTCTAATACAGTATGTACTATACAAACTTAGCATTCTAAGAAAGGAATCTGGTACTAAGGAGATGCCAGTACAGTAGTTATCTGACTTTTGTAACTTGAAAAAAATTATTATAATAGTGTACATTTATCCAAAAAAAAATAGAGCAAAAGCGGGATAAATGCAGATTTGGCTACATACTTACTCAAGCAAGGTGTTTAGGCTGGCCACTTGGCCAGCACCTAGTCTTGACACGTCGGGTCACAACGACCGTCACGCCAGATGCTCTTTGCCTCTCGCCACCACTTTTCTCTCTATTTTTTTTTTCAATCACTTCAATAATCAACATGCCCGCCCGCCGCAGTCGGCGGTTCGAAATGGCCCGCGCGTTTCAGACACTCTCCGCTGAGGAACTTGCCTCAATCGACGAAGACATCGACAAGGCAAAACTGTATGACCTTGACAAGCATTGCTCGCAGGTGCTGGAACTAGACGCTTTGAAGGACACAAATTATGCTGGTAGGGACGAAATGCGTCGTATCCTGGAGGAGAATATTCAGGAAGATGTCAACACCGAGTGGATGCTCCAGATGGATTTGATTCTCAAGCTCGTGTTTAGCTGCGGCTATCGGCCTGGAGCTCTTGGACTGTCAGGAGATCGGTCTGTGAAGTGGGAGGTGTGTTATTGAAACTATATTCAGCGTCGCGCACACGTTGACTCTCCGTTTAGGACATCCAAATTTCTTGCTCAAATTCGCTCAATTTCCGCACCGTGATCACCAATTCAACCCTCCAAGACCGCCCCAATATTCCACACAACAGGCTTGTACTTCGACTTGAAAGCCCGAATAGACCAGAGAACGTCGTCTTCGACATCGCTATTCCTCTCCTTTGCCTAGCATTGCTCAGAAACGGTATCAAGAACATCAAGACCCTGGATCAGCTTATAGCTTGTAATTCTGGCAACATCGAGTGGGAAAGCAAGTTTGTGCACCAAGCGGTTTTATTTGCTGGTGGGGACCAAGGGTGCATCCAGGACGAGGTCATGACGGCACAAGATGTGGAAGATGTGCTTCGTGTTGCTGGGCGACGTGTTGGCTTTGAAGGTATGCAACACGATTTCCCCAAATTCCACTCACAAGTGTCGTAGACTTTTCGACTTATCTACTTCGTCGCAATCTTGACCAGTCTGCATTCCCTCTGGGCATGATCTCTGTAGGCGAGGCACGAAATCTCATCTCTCGCAGCAATGGCACTTTTCGCGTCGGCGCGCAGCCAGAACATCTCAAACGAAGGAATCGCATTGCTCCTTACTCTGTCCCGTTATCCAAGACTGGTTTTTCTGACGAAGAATGTCGTGAACACCCTGACTGGATCACATTCACCCAACAGCCCGAATACCGGTTGCGCGAACAGAAGCTGGCTGAGTTGAAAGCCATCGTTGACGAAGGACTCGCCAAATGCCGCTGGAATTCCACAGCAGCGATCATCACTCGGTTTGAGCGGGAACTGCGGAATGAACCGCACTATACGACGGCGATCAAGAACTATCGAAAGCAACATGAACTGCATACCAGCTTAATTCGGAGCAAGCTGAGTACGATCCGGGAGCTGCTTCGTCAAACTGCCAACGACAAACAACTGCAAGAACCTTCTGTCCCGTTGGAAATTGTTGCAACGCGTACTTCCTTCCCTTTTCTTATGTTTTCAACGTTTTAACCCTGCTTAGCCCCGGTTGCATCTGGATCGAATCTCAAGGATCAAGGTTTAAAATTTCTCTGTTGTGTTTGATCTGTCTAAAACTGAGCTTTGCTAGACGAAGACGTGGCTGTAGAGAACCTCATTGACATGAATTGGGAGGAAATCAACGAGAGGGTGGGCTCAGGAGAAGAAAACATTGTGGAGATCAGAGCGGCGTTGATGAAGTAAGTGAACGCATACTGGAAGAAAGCTGCGCTGATGCGTTTACAGGAAGCTTTTTCAGTGTGGCGTCAGACGCTGTAACAAGTGTCAATGCGACCCAACGACGTCTGAAGCAGATAAGACCAAAGTGTACACATACGACGACGTCGAGCAGCACGAAAACCAACAGGACTTCCATCATCCGAAGAATCAGTGTCTTCGCTGGTTCCATACACACAAAACATGCTTTTTGTGCACCAGGGACGGCGAGACAGTCGGCTTGGGCTCCGCTTCCTCCCACCGCCGCCATCTCCGCGACGTCCATTCCGAAGATTCTAGACTTGGGCACGCACCTGCGATCAACCTCATCCCGGTCTCGTTCCCCGACTGGTACTTGACTCCAGAAGAATACGCAGCAAAGGAGAAGGCATGGGCGGCGTGGGTCAACAGCATACCCTTTCCGGAGGGCTACATCCAGACGGAGGAGGAGATGTGGGAGAGATTGAAGGACATTCGGGTTCCAAAGGTCGACATTAGTGGCATGGACATTTCCCAGTACATCGACGTTCGCAAGGTCAACGAGGCTTACAAGAAACGAGTCCGGTTGAGCAAAGCCGAATTCCAGTGGGTGTATGACGGACCATCGTACGAGTATGAACATTAACAACATCGATGAACTTTGTATTGTAGCTATAGCAGCATCGACAGAGCAAATGATAATACGACGAATAACAAGTGTGAAGTACATTAGGCAGAGTTCCAAGAAGAACAAAAAAGAAGCCGTAAGCAATCCTTGTCGATCATCGTTAATGGACCTGCCACCGTAACAGGCTCTGTTGCTGGTACAATGGGCTCTTTATACACTCGTCCTGCCAGGAAAATAGAGTCAGCCTCAGGCTCACTCGGGCATCCGCGTCCATCAAGGGAGTGTCATACTCATATGGCGGCAAGGGTTTTGTCTCTTTCGACATACTGTCACTGGCACTACTCCGCGAAATCGAGTCGAGGGGGGTTTTGTAATTACACAGACTATGGGATTTGTAATGTCATTGCAGGCTTGTGGTTCAAGTTCAACTTACGTTGGCTGCAGGTTTTTTTTTGGCCAATTGCTTATGCAGGGATACAGTATGGTCAGTACCAGCTTACCGTATGTTGGCCACTTCAGAGCACTAGTAAAGACACAAATATAAGCAGCACTCACCACTGGACAGCTTGGTGCGACGTTCAAGTTGTTGTCACGGAATATAGTGCACGTGATGAGAACATGTACCATTAATACCTCCGTAAAATTAGTGGCAATATGTCCAAAATAAATGCTTTTGGGAGTCAGTAGTTTGAGTCAAGGAAATATTTGTTTCGGAAGAATAATTTGAAGTCAGTTGCCTGGAACTCTTTGATGATAACTGATGGTGATGCGTATTGCCTAGCAACAGTCTTCCCCTTGGCAACGGAGCAGGTTTGGCTAAGGCGACGCAAAATAAGTAGGCATTCAATAGAACGTTCAGTCGTAACCATATATCTTCAGCTAGCAACAACGGCCGCCTGGCGAAATGGCATCGCGTCTGACTACGAACTTGACCACTTCAAGGGTTTCAAGATTTGGTATCAGGAGATTGCAGGTTCGACCCCTGCGGTGGTCATTTTATAGCGTTTTACAACGTTCCAAGTCGTTTTCCTGGAGTTGGGGAGGCCCCGGGAATATTTTCCAGCGATTTTATAGAGTATTTTCAACTTTTCTCACTTTTTACTCTTTGCTTTTCTAAAATTTCTTTTTTAGGCCATCCCACAATACCCTCCGAGCTGCCTGACAGTGGACCCATGTTTCTAACGCGTGTTTTACGCTTGCCGGGACCGCGATTGAGGCTGCATCACTGCCATCAGCGCTAGTTAAATTTCTCTTTGAAATGATCAAGTCGATCTTCAATTGGTCCCCAGGACGGACTATGGGAGTGTTCTCTATCTCAAAATACCCTCAGGTGGGTTGGTTGTAGATCAGGATTTCATAGAGGGTCACCAACATCACGTACCCTTCATTTGCGCACCATTTCACGCGTATTCCCTCATGTAAATCGTGCTCACATGAAGTACTACCGATATGATTTCAGATGGGTTGATTAGATTAGTGGCGCGTCCGTTCCTTAAGAACGGCGCTTGGCACAGACTAAGAGCGGCTGCCAAGTTGCCTTTGCATTGCCTCCACCTTCGCATCGGTACATCCCGTGGCCTCCTGTTGCCTCCGTGTGCCAGAAAGAGAAATATGCCTTCTTTGGTCGTTCATATCAGATTTGTTGCGATGTACAGGCTGATGCGGCCAGGGGTGTGGAGTAATACTAGATTAGAGCGAGAAAAGCCTCTGAAAGGAATGACCCACTCAGAGACCACACTTGATGTCGCCGATGAGCCTAGTTGTTGGACTAGCTTCGGAGAATCGACTCGGAACCAGATCATGACCCTGAAGCCTCGATCCGCCACGACAATCTTCAGATAGCAAGATTGTTGATACAGGGGGTTGAGTTATCGCCAGTTACAGTGTCACTCAACGATACATGAGTTGACGGACAGGTCTAATAATGAGAGCAGTGTTGGTCTGATTCACTTGAATCTGACGCTGTTCGGACAAAGGATTAACAAGCATATGCCAGATACTCTAGCTATCGCTGACCCACTTTATAAAGCACGGCCAGTGTCAATATACTTCGGTGCTTGGGCTGCTTGGGGCTGCAGTGGATTGTAACGTAGAAGCCTTCAATTTTTTTCCGTTCCTTGTGTCGTCTCCGAGGGTTTGTCGTCGGTGATAAAGATTTCCTTGTTTCCGGATGGTGTGTAAACTCGATGTATTCTTGTCGTTGGAGGGCTTCATAAAAAGCTTATCTTTGCGGAGATAGTATGAGCGTGGATTTCGAGGCAGGACAGTCGGGAGGCCGTTCAGACGAAGACCACCAGACGTTTGAGTTTTGATACGAATCCGTCCTAGTGAGCAATGAGCGATGCGAGCGGGTTGAGTTCTTGGTCGAGAGGGGTCTCAGTCGGCCGATTTGTTTTTCAAGTGACGTTATGACGTCGGCCGGCCATGCGTGGGTGCACATTTTGGAAGCGAGAGTTCTTCGAGATTGCATCCTCCGAGTTGAGCATTGACTAGTGACGCGTATGGTCTTCAATATTTATTACAGGCTGGTTTCTTGCTCCTCCGTTTGAGGAAAAGTTCATGTATGGAGGGCCAGCTGAGCTATTGAAGTCGCCCGACGGGGAGGTGCGACAGGATTGCCGGTTGTGAGGGGAGATCATCGCGGCTGATGATGGGAGTTGATTGAGATAACGGGGGAAGTCACCGCCGAGAAACATCTAGGGAGTGCAAGAAGACGAAGACGGAGACAACATGTAGTCAAGCAACGGTCTAGTGTAGAGGATTGTGCTTTGGCGCTCCAAGGCTTTGCCCGATTTTCTTTTACTTACTGTTTGAATCTTTGTTTGTTCCGTTGCCCCACACCCGATCCTAGGGACTATCTGGTTCCGGGGGTCTTCTTGATAATGAGGGTGAAACGCCGGACTTTGTCCAAAACTTTGTCTCTGACGTGTGAGATGCTGCTGCCAGGTTTTCTCTGGCGCTGGACCTCGTGCGTCTGTGTGATGCCAGTCGCCCGCTTTGGCATTGGGCTTGATTAGATATTGAGAAACGATTCTGTTCAAAAATTGTGTGGGGAGTCTAGAATGACACGTCGGCCGCGGCAACAGTCGCTGTCTGATTATTATTATTTTAATCAAGGTTGATTAGATCAATTGGCCCATGTCACGCCTCCGATGCGCTGGCGAGTGTTGAGTGCCGGGCCTCAAAGCCCCGACGAGAGGATACTCATGAGTGAGCACTGCTCGCGTTAGATAAACCGGAGGCTGGCACGGAAGAAGTCGGGCAACGGAAGAGGCTGAATCTAATCACGCAATGTCCGACAGGCGATTGGCTGATGGGTTATCTTAGATAAACACCCGCCTTTGCTGTCACCCACCTCTTTTTTCGGTGCACACAAGGAACGACACCGAGACACCCTCTTCCTCTTTACACTCTGCCCTACCTACTCCACTCCGGTCTTCACCATGTCAGCCATAGACATTGTAGCCCCTACCCCAGCTTCGACCCGCTCCCAAACCAACTCGGCCCAGCAAGCCTACCATTCAAAGACCGTTGTTGAGCCACCAAACCAGCCGCAGACTGCGTCTCCAGCCGTAAACCGGCCAATATGTGTCAACTGCGGTACAACAGAGACGCCATTATGGCGTAGGACACCAGACGGAAACCCCATATGCAATGCCTGCGGTGAGCTGTCTCTCCCCTTTCCATTCTCCAGCTTTGCTTTCTTTCCTATCGATTGGCGATGCCTAGAGGGTTGGTTTCACTGAGGCAGATCGGATGGAGCAGGGCATGCCCACAATGCATAGTCCACGATGCAGTCCCGTGTTGTTCCTTTCGCCTAGATTTCTTTCTTTCCCTTCGTGCCTCCTCCACTTGTCTCAAATGTCTATCCCATCTTCCTCCCCGATGCTGATGCCTGCTTTCCCCATTCCAGGTCTCTACCAAAAATCGCGCAATGCCCCGCGACCCGCCTCCCTTTCACCGCACAACCAAGCACAAGCGGCCCAAGCAGCGGCAGCAGCTGCAGCAGCTCAACAACAACAAAACGCCAACTCCCACCACCAGGGTGGCACGTGTCCTGGCGACGGTCGCTGTGACGGAACTGGTGGCTCAAATGCCTGCAATGGGTGTCCTACGTGGAACAACCGACTGGCTACTGACAATGCCAATTCGTCATCAGACGAGCAACAGCCATCTTCGGCTTCGATGCGCCAACTGCTCAATCCAACTCCACCTCCAGCCCGCAACTCGACCACGACCAGCCCGTCAGTTGTTCCCAAATTATTATCTATCCGTTATTGATGTGATTATCTATCATAGGAATGCGGCCGCCCCCGACTCTCCAGCAGCCAAAATCAACGCGTTGTCCTGTGGTAACTGTGGAACAAGCACAACCCCGCTCTGGCGTCGCGACGACGTTGGCAACAACATCTGCAATGCTTGTGGTGAGTCATAGCTTTTCTTTTCTTTTCCATTCTTCTTCCTCCCTCCCTTGACATTTTCTTGGTCGATCTCTTCTTTCTGTAAAAGGAGATGCCGCTTGTTTTTCCTCTGGCTGTGAACACCCACGGACACAGCCAGCGATGACAAGCGAGGGCTATCATCGCAGAAGTCCCTCCTTCCTGCATTCCTCTCCTCCTCCTTTCTCACTCCTGTTGTCTCTTGTGACGAACGATGTCATATCTGCATCATATCAGATTCGATTTCGTCTTATCTTGCAATGAGGCAAGAAGCGCACGAGGACAGCTTCCGCTAGCGAATATCGGATAAGATTCTTCCATTTAACGCAGCGTCGGCCCAAGCAGTGGAGTTGTCTCGGTTTTCCGCAGGGGGTCAATAGCCAGTCATTCGTCGTGGGCATACCTATGCAACGAGTGAAATATGGATAACCATTGGCCCTCGCACGACATCTAATCAGATTCCCTCCCTACTCGTCACACTCGCTCCTCCTTTCCCCTACCACGGAAAAACGAGTAGTCGGAGAAAGTGGGCTTGTCTCATTGTCTTCATTTGCTCGGCTTCTCGTCAGTTCACCAGGTTGTTAACCATGCATCCCATTATAGGTCTCTATTTCAAACTACACGGGACGCACCGTCCAACGTCAATGAAAAAGACGGTCATCAAGCGGCGCAAACGAGTTCCTGCAGCTGGGGGAAATGGTGGTCATGATGGGGCAAATGGTGAGTTCTTTTCTGCTTGCGACTGCGACGGTACATGCCCAGAGATGTCATCACCTCCGATCGGCTAGTGCATGTCCTCAGTCTCTCTCTTTTTTTAAATATTTGCATGCTAACTTGCGACATTCTAGCCATGAGCGACCAAGCTGCGGCTGAAGCACTTGTCGCTGTTGGGCGATCGCGGATGACTGGGTCGTCACCGAGACCACATCCAACAGATGACGACAATGAAGATGCCCCTCGTCGAAAGCGCGCTCGTCGTAAAGCTCCGGCCCCACTTCCCATTGAGGAAGACCAAAAAGACTTGGGAAAACGCACGTGGTTTCCCAGTCCCGCGCCGACCGGAACCCCCCAAAACTCTTTCGAACTGCCGTCAATTGGGAGTGCATTCCCTGGCTACATGCGTGGATCTAGTCTCAGTCGGTCCGCAACACCTAATCGGGTCGGCGCTGGTTCACCAGCTGCCGGGTACAATCTGCCTCCGGTCCGGTCATACCACGAAGGTTCTACTGGTGGGATACCGACAGTCGAGGAGCTCGAACGACACTACTTCTCTCTACATGAGCAGAGACGCAAAATGGAGGAGTTGTTGAGGGATACAGAGCGAATGATGGCTGGAGTCCGAAGGGGAATTGATGAGATGAGAGGCGTGACAATGGAGTCAAGCGCAAGGACTGAACCTGCTGCAAATGGCAGTGTAAATGGAAGCGCCAGTGCGAGCCCAACCAGCCATCACAGCAGCGCAAGCATAAATGGAGTCACTTCTCATGCTGAAGCACTTCCTTTGCGTGAGCGTGCTAGGAGTAACGAGCGCGCCAATGTTTGGCCGGTCAATGGCAATGGAAACCTCAATGGGTCCGCTAGTTCTCATGGGTCGCCTATCGGCAATGCCAACACCGAGGTCGCTGTGGCCGTCTAAATCTGGTCTCTCGTCTCTCTCTCTCTTTTGCTCATCTCCCACTGCTATCTCTCGCTGTCTCGATACTCTACATCTCCTCTCGGCTCGTCTTCGATCTGGATTATTTTGCTCTTTCAAGTCCCCCCCTCCCCCCGTCCGTCCGTCTAACTCCTTGTGTCGCCCACCCACTTCATACTCCCATTCTTCTTCACCTATGTACCTTACTACCCCTTCTTATAGTTTTTGACCACTTGCTTAGTTCTCTATCTATGCGCTCCCCCCTTTCCATATACTCCGACTTTTTTGACACGTACATACTACGTATTCTTCGACTCGCTCTGGTCTCTGTACAGTATCTTAAGAACGTATTACCATGGAACCGTTAATGTCATATGCATCTGGCTTTATGCCTACACACACTTTTTTCTTTGAAAACTACTAGTGTGACATCATCACCTCTGTCAACCTTTTCCTGTTTGCGAGCATGATCGCTCCGACGTTGGCTTCGACAAAGTCTCAACAGCGGTCCATTGAACTCCCCCCAGCTGCAACCACCGCCATCTTGTTCTTCGCACTTGTTCAACCTCGGAGCAAATGAACAATTAATTAACACAAGAATCAAGGCCTCGACTTCGCCATGGATGAAGCTCAACTCGACTCCCATGTTGGCAATGCGTGGCTATAGCGGTAAACTGACGGTTTCTCTGTGGGCCGATGGCGTCTATCCATCAGGACCAGTGCCAGCATTCTGTGGGTCCATGGTGGGCAATCTGCCATGAACTACTTATACTCGGATGGTGCTCGATAATATACCGCGAATCGATTTTGCCCTTCCGTTCTTTTTGCCGTGCTGGCATAGTGTCGCTGGACGACTCCTTCGATCCTGTTCTTTGCCGTCAATGAGGTGTGTTTCCTGTGGCTATCGATGGCCACAACGTTGACCACGCTGCAGAACCGGCAGCCTCCTCTCATTCTGTATCCTTATTGTCGGCATCTTCGCTTTTGAACCGATCGTCGCTCCTCCAACCGTGCCTGTAACCATCTTCCAGTCTGTGCCCAACAATCACACGGACGATCCCAACCCCAAGTAAATGACGCCGCTCTGTCCAAAGCTTCATACGCTTAACACAGTCGTGCAGTCCTTTTTCGGGCCAGCCTACACCGACGGCGCTCCCGTCTGTCTCCATAGTTGTCATTTGTGCGGCCAATGCCGTTCCAAGCGGCGTCGAATGCGTCCCCAAGCATTCGGAAACAACAACAAAGACAATTCAGAGTGCGAGTGACTTTGAAACGTCGTCTGCTGTGGTATCTTTTCACCCGTGCGTGGTCCTTTTGTCTCACTCTTATCTATTTGATGTTTTATCTAGCCAGACGAACATTCCCTCCAGCTCCACGCCTGCTAAGGACACCATTCCCAATGCTCTCAATGTACAATTGCTGGTTGGCTTGGGAGTCGCAGTCGCCTTCATCTTGGCTGCCATCATCTTCCTTCTTGTGCTCTTTTTTCGACGGAAAGACAACCACAGGAACGAGGACCGCCATTCGCGGGCGAAGGACGCAGAAATGGGTGGATTAGATCTGCTTGCGCTCGAGATTACACCGTTCGACACCATTAACACGACTCGTGCTCAGGCCATGGGTATCATGATGGCGCGAGCTCCGCCTCCATTGTCAGAACCGGTTTCCAGTCTGCTGGTGACTCGTCCCATAGCTTCACCGCCTTCAACTCAGAAACATGCACATCGTGAGGAGAAGAAGAAGACTATCAAGTCAGCACAAGACCACTCGCCAAACATGCGACCACTGAGTGAAGATGCTGACGATTTGAACAAGGCTCCGCCGCCATTGTATAGAGAGTCTGGACTGGGCTGGCAGCTTCAGGACTGCGAATCCGTTCATTCCGTAGTCAGTTCTACACCCGTCATTCGCAGACACTCCAGAACGACCTCAAGCAATGCCGTTCCCGTAGATTTGGATGTGGACACGAAAACTGTTGCAATCGAATCCGGTGCTGCTTGAATACCGGATCAATGCTACTTATGTGCGAGAGTGCTTAGTCTTCAACCAATGCTGTTGTTATTGTCCGTGCACAATTGTCAGGAAGATGATTCCAGGGTCACGTGAACGATCATTCTTCATTCGACCAACCACCCCCACAAAATTCTTTCCGCGTTGCCAGAAAAATGGCTGCGAAGAACCATGCTAGCGCTCCGCTATTTGATGGTTTATATTCAAGTTTGCTGTAGCATCCGTCACGCAAGACAGCTTTACTGCCTACCGAAACTACTTCCTTGTATTCCTGGGTTCGGAATACTCCGTAAGTAACCACAAACCTCGTTGAGTACAAAGGCCATCTGCCCGTTGCCGCCACATCTTTGCTTCTATCTTGAAGTTAACAGTTCATTGCTTCTTGGTCTATCACGACCATCGACCAATGGTAGCTCTGTGTGGGTCCCCTACCAAATGAAGAACAATAACGTTCTTGTTCTCACTTGACAGACGCCGTGATGCTGGCTTACGCAAGGCAGTCAGGCAGCCGTATATCTAGGACCGCTCCAGAGGATGTCCACAAACTACCACTCGTTCTCTGTTCACGACCACTCTCCACTGTTTTATTCATTTCGTTAGCCCTATCGGATACGACCACCTAGCATGCAGTATGGGTTTCAACTTGCCTCTATTCTAGCTTGCTCAACGTACTGTCCAGATACATCCTTCTTTTTGTTCCCCTCTTTTCCATTGCTAGCACACTTGTCAGTGCTCAATTGTCCGATTCGTCAGTGTACCTTTTCTTTCAGTTGTCTTTTGACTTGCTCATCTCTATTCTAGTCTTCTTGCATCCAAGTCTACGACCCCTACCGTCACTACGACCGTTCTGTGTCCCACAAACGCAACTCCGAGTGTTACCGACTGTATTTCTATGACCACCAACTCGGACACTTCCGATATTGATTCTTCGTTGTCTCAATCGTATGTACAAATCCTTCCATACTCACCTATGCGCCTAATCTTTCATATCAGCCCATTCTCAGCCCGCGTCTACGAAATAATTCCATCCACTATCCCTGCCACTCCGACCCCAAGTACTTTTCACATCTTACACCCAACTGCGCAGCTCGTTGCTGCCCTATGCATTGGGATCTCTCTCTTTATTGGATTCGCTGTGTTCCTTTGTGCCTTTTGCCACCGGGTCAAGGCCGAAAATGTGCGACGAAACTCGCGCTCGACGCTCGACCCAGAGATGGGTCCCATGGCTGGCCCTGGCTCCATTCTTGCGCTTCAGATTACGCCGTTTGACCCTGCTGTCCGCGACACGATCCGCTACAAGCCACATGCATGGCCCACGTCTGCCACAGCCCTGATGGAGGCGTATGAGCAGCGCTCGAAGGGATATGCCAACATTAGCAAAGAGTCGCTTTCGCCCTCTCAGTGCGGCAAGATGGCACACCTGCAGGAGTTTAAGACGGTCCGAGAGTGCGACCATGACAGTGACGAGCTGCCACCCCCAAGCTATAAAGAGCGCGAGCCGCTTCTGTCGCAAGCACCGGCCGCGAGCGGCGTGCATTGAACGTTAGACCGATGTCGATATTTTCCTTTCGTTGTACCCAACCATGTAGCCTCTTCCCTCAGTAGAGTATTCCCGAATAATAAATTATATCCAGCCCGTAGTGCGGGATTCAAATGTAGCAATCTTGAAATGACGCTCTGGACCAACGACGACAAAGCAGGGTGAGCATCCTCGACCGTCCTTGCATTGTGAGCCTCAGTGTTGAGGGGGTCCAGACATAAAGACAACACAGTGTTTGAACAACGAGGAGTAAGACTACACATGTCATTGTATGGGACCTTGAAAAAAAAAAGTAGGAAAGTACGAATGTGCCCGACTCTGATTAGCCGCCAACCCAGTGGAATGGTGGACAGACGGCATGCCCAGGGTCGTGCGCTCGCTCTACCCAACGCGTCAGCGTCAGACGCCTCGAAGGAACGACGTTCGAATGAAAAGACGCAGAGGGACGACTGTAAGGAAAATTGATTGATCGGTGACACCCTATATAGTGGGCTCCACGTGACTGATTTCGGCGTCGAGCGGAGCAGTTCGCATCATCGGCACCGAAACATACTACTTACAAGCACAAAGTGAAAGCGAAAATTATGTCGACTCGGAGCCACCAGTCCATGGAAGGAGGGGATGGGGGGCTGAGAATAAGCATAGCACTAAGCGGCACAAAGCAAACAAATATTCACGTTTTAGACAAAGAGCAAATGTCAGAGGGCAAGAATTTGGATTGGCAGCCTGAGGGATATGTAGTATTCGACTGGGACATAAGTAACGGCAGAGAGCATTCTATGCGTGGATATTTATTCCCTGAGCAATCGATTTAGTGAGGCCTGCATCTTGTTTATTATGAGTCGGAACTCACGCATTCAAGGAGTTGGCGCAAACAAAGCGATGGTTGCGCATGCTTTCGAACACGATCCCAGAGCGGTGTTGCATGCAAGAATTGCAGGACAGGTGGCAGCGGCTGCAATGACTGTCCCGAATGTAAATCCAGCAGCAGAATAACAGGCCACCGCCACGGTATTACAGCCTTGAAACCAAACAATGAGTGTCATCGGAAAGAAAAACAAGTTGAAGGCGCACCGCTTTGACAAGCGGCATAGGCCATTGGGCCCGCTTTGACTTGAAGAGGGAGCAGACTGAGAGCGACAACTGACAAAAGGCCTTTCGAGATGTTCATGGTTGGAGGGAGAGAGGCAAACCAAGTTGAATGGCCCGCCGGCGGGGTCTACTAGTAGCTTTTGTAAGGGAGCCGAATCACTCAGACTTGCTTTCAGATAACCTTTTGTATTATGTGGAGTGTCCGCTGTCGAGCTTTAATCTTGAAGTCAAAAGAAACTCAAGCCCTGGGGTGTATTTTTTGGATTCATCTTGAAGGTATCGCACTTGAGTCTTGGCCACTCCTCACTGCGCTTGATAACGGAAGTAAGTGGTCAATGATAGGTTTCGATGATGCAAGAAGACTCTGGTAATCGACGCCCGAACACCTTAATACTAGTAGTATATAGCAAACTTCAAGTCGTGACTCTTGAGACTAAGTCTTGGCCGTCGACAATTGAAGTGAAGACAGACAACATACGATAAACCCCGACTGTGAGGATGACCTCGCCTGCCCACCCGCGTATTCCCATCTTGGAGAATGGCTGTACGAATACTTTTGCGCCGTCCAAACCGATGGCTAGTAAACTGCCCTACTCATAAGTCAAGCTCCTTCAGCAACTTAAGCACGAACTTGAATATCGAGCCACTAACTGGGATGGAGACCCAAGCTCGTATGTTAGAGGAGCTGGGGCAAAGCGCACGCGCAGTGATGCCAAAGCGGGGTTACAGGCAGCTGTTACCTCCAGCCGTTCAACAAGTAAGCAGCTTCAGGGTAACTCATCGAAATTTGTCGCTATCATCTCTGCTCATCCGTTTCCGGGTCCTCGATCGGTGCTCAAGTACAACAGGTGATGTGACGCCAGAAGTACTTGAAGCAAGAGCTCTACATCGTGCCCGGTCAGCTGAGATTGAGGTCAATTGCTCAAACGACGCAACGCGCCGTGGCCTTGGTCCAGGCATTCCGATCACATGAAGTCCAAGCCGGTTAACAATCTGCTGAGTCTTCAGAGAAGTGTAACGGCCGTGCACACAGTGGGCCTGAGCGTCATTCTCTTGCGTCCATAAGTTCAGGGTAGCTTTCGTCGGACTTTGCCGTTGAGGACGTCATCTACTGTCGATGTGGAACCGTGACCGTCGATTATCGATGTCGGAGGCAGCTAATCGGAGTGATAAAGTCCAGCGAGTTCACCATGCACCATGTAGCGAACTGAGTGCTTTCGATCAGGAGAGAGCCTCAGGCTAGAAAGAGACAGCATTTGAAATCTGCTTCGAAAATGACCACGAGGAAGCTGAAAGACTTCGGGTGGTGATGTGCCCCAGTGAAGATGAGCACAGGACCGAAACAGTGAGATAGACATGCAGGGGGTTTGACAATGAAGCTCGCAGGTGGTGGTGTAACCAAGCAGTGTTACAATCGCAAATGATGTCGCTGGCCAAGTCGGCTGGTTGACGTTTGATGCCATCAAACTTTCTTTCAACCCAATCCTGCACGACCTCTGGAACCTACACAATGGCCGGCTGATCACCTTCTCTAACGAACTGAGGTAAATCAACGGCAGACCGAGGACCGAGTAAGACTCGCTTGGACAGACTGGGAAAGTGACGAGATGAGCGCCGAATCTGAGCTATCTTTCTCAATTGCAAAAGATATGCAGTCGTTCGCGTCGGAAGCATATCCATCCTCCGACTAGGGACCGCTCCACTGCACATGGAACTGACAAGTGACTAGTAAGTGGCAAATGCATACTGGCCTTTATACTACCAACCGTTTTTCCCCGCTACAGCAATATATTTTGATGGTCGCTATCAACCGAGGATTCAGACTCGCGGCGGCGGGCATCGCTGTGCTGGTGGGGTGTCTACCTCGTCTCCGGCACCCGTATCCCACATCTACTTCGTGTTAACTTAACTTCGTGTTGTGCCGTCCAGCACGAGAACCGCAGCTGACGCCTTTTCGCGGTCACGCGGTTCGGCCTCCTCCTCGGAACCGCATGATACCATCGCGACATCGACGAAACTGTAATGTGCAGATTCTGTGTCGTCACCGGGGCACTGCAAAGCTGATGAGAGAATCTATCTTGGTCACGGTGGTTGCGGTATAAATGGATCCGTGAATTCTCGATGCAACATCATCTCCTTCTACCATGCGTCTTCAACAAGCGTTACTGGGGCCCCTTCTCGTTTCCTTTGCCTTTGCGCAGGACCTGGGTGTCCCACTATCATGGAGGGTGTGTCACTCCCCAGCACAATTCGACTCTCGCTCATTTGGCTCCTGCTTAGAAATTCAGCAACTCCCGTCCCCGTTCCGAGCGGATTACCATCGCGCAAAATGCTATCAACGCGATCGTTCCCCAGCTTGACTCCTCGAATGGAGAATTCAACAGTAGGTCTTGATCGTCTGAGTATTGTCGTCGATTGATGTGTGCTAGGCATTGGATATTGGCAATCAGGCAATGTGTATTCCGCTGCCGCCAACCAAGACAAATCCGCTGGGACGACAACCAATCGGGCGTTCGTGATCAACAATCTCAACCTTGTCTACAGCAAATATGCGCATTATGACAAATATGGGTGGGTCAAGAGCTCCCTCTCGATGGCGACAGTGGCTGACTTTCCGATGCAGGGTGTGTTTGAGCATCTTGCGCTACGGCATACGTATGTTCTTTGAACGCTTATTCAGTATAACGATGACGCGATGTGGTGGGCACAATCGGCGCTCTATGCATACCGCGCCTACAATGTTTGTTCTTCCTCTGCCAATCAAATAATATTTAATCATTTTGTCCTCCCGCTTTAGGACAGAAATATGCTTGCACATGCGGTCGATGTTTGGACCCATGTTACCGGCTAGTCTGTCACCTTCTTTCTGACTACGACCGGTGCCTGACTCCGTCTTAGTGTCGTTACCCAGGCCCAAGCCAACTCTGGCAGGAACCCTTTGAAGACAGTTACCATCCAGTCAACCTGCAATGGAAGTGAGTCGCTTTTTGTGGCTAAAGTGTTGTCGATTGTAACAATATGGACTCCCAGAGACGATGGCGGGAGGCGTTTTCTGGACTACCAGGGCAGACGACGGAGGGATCAACTCAATCACCACCGGGTTCGTCGTTTATACTCCTTGCTATCGATGCTGATTTGGTACTCAAGCCTCTATACAACGTCTGTTTTCATATGAACAGCATGAAAGGAGATATTGAATCAATTTAGGCTTTCTGCTTTCTTAGCTGAATACACCGGTAACTCGACCTACACCAATGCCGCGATTCTCAGCGCGAATTGGATCAAGAACCACCAAATCAATGCAAATAACATTGTCCTCGACACCACCAGCGCCGATTGTTCGACCGGGCCTGGACTTTACACCTATAACAGCGGCAAGTATATCGAGGGACTGAGTGTTCTGGCAGCCGTCACCGGAGACTCTTCGTGGACTTCATTGTGGCTTTTCTACTTGCCCTAGAGACATTACGAACTGACTGATAACCAGAATGATCAATATCCTGAACTCTGCTGTCAAGTCGTCTGCATGGCAAGGCTCCGACGGCATTATCACCGAAGGCTCCAGCCCTGGTGGCAATAACGACGGTGTCGGTTTCAAAGGTCCGTTATCTTCTGACCCCGTACCACCCAGGGCCGAGATTCCTTACAGCAATCTTCATTCGCGGCCTCCATGAAGCCTGGACCCGCAACTCCCCCAACACCGCTCTCCTCACGCTTATCCACAGCTACGGCGATGTGCAATACAATGCGCTGCTCGATCTGGCCGCGACCGGCAACACCTATTCGTCCAACTGGCACGGTCCGCCTCAGGCATTCACGACATGGGGCCAACTTGCAGCGTTGGACGTGATGACTTCAAATATTGACACCAATTAGCTGGAGCACAAGGGATTTTTAAACTGTAGTATGTAAGAAGAAGAATCTGATCGAGTATTTGTTGTTTTTTGAGACGCGGTGACTGGACGCGTCTTTTGCGAGTGACCGTGTCCGTCGTGACGTCAGCAAGTGTTCTCGTTCAGAATCTCATGAACCAACAAAAAAGCAAATGTAGCTCCGAACTTTGCTGGTACGGACAATACATATAGAGGCTCTTCTCATAGACTTCTCATTCACCACACAGAACTGTTTGTTGCCTTCGCGATGAAATGAATGTCCGAATCGTTCTCATGGATGACGTTCTCCCTGGTTGACTCGAACCCATAACATCTTCAAGTAGTCTACATGCTCAACCTCTCGACGGAGTTACTTCAGGAGATATTCTGCCACGTTAGTTGTACTGCATTCACATCGACCTTTCTCACTTTCTCGATAGCTAGATGCAGCCAGCCTCAGTGCAATACGCCCAGCTTGCAAGCGTCTCGGTTCCATGGCCGACATATTCTTTCTAGAGACACTTATTCTTCCGACCAATCGGTTGAATGTCGATATGTTGAATGCCATTGCGCGTGGACATTCACCATGGTCAATCCACACCCGAAAGCTCGTTGTTGCCCCAGGTCGTCCCTCTTCGACTCCAACTGAAAAGGATGCTTTAGCAATACTCCCTTTGGCACTTTCCCGCTTGGTCAAAGTATCAGTTCTTTGGTGCGTGCCTCCGCATTTCGTCTCCGACGTACACTCAAATTCGTTCAGCTTCAAGATCACTTCCAAGGACGAGTCGGGACTGACCGAAGCTGTGTTCAATGCCATACAATACTTCCAGCTTCGTCATTTTGACCTCATCATCGACTCCAAGGACATGTTCGTCCTACCATTGGTTCCGGCCCATGAACTTGAAGTGCTCAAAATTACCGCCCCCGTCTGGTATAGGCCCCTCTCTCCAGACCCATTCGACTCCCCTCCTCCTCCCGATCCCGAAGGTCCAATGACTCCTTCGATTCCATATCAAATCGGACAGCTCGTCGCCAGCAATCGGAGCTTGAAGGCATTGAAAATCTCTCAAGGAAAGGACTGGGATGATGTTTGGCGGGTTCTCATTTCTTGCGACATATATCTGTCTGAACTTGGAACCCGTGAGCTTAGCTCAATGCTGCTAGCTTATCTCAGCTCGTATACCGGACTCGTGCGGTTGAATTTACTTGGTGTTGACGGAGACTCTCAAGTGGCAGATGACAACTTCGCTGATATTTTCTTTTCCGCCGTCCTACCCAAACATAATACTACATTGCAAGAACTCAGGTGCTGTTCCGCCTACGAGAGCAACTGGCTGTTTGGTCAACATAATGCTCAGGCTATAGTAACGCTCATAGAGCTCAGACTGTTGGAAATGGGTGTAAATTCCGGGGATGTGTCGAAAACGAACAACATTCTCGTATGTCCTCTCCCTCTGTTTCATCAGCAGTACCGCTCATCACATTTGCAAGCCTCTTTTGTTCCAAACGGCTATTGAACTGCCCAGACTCAAGTATCTCGCTATCTATCCTTCTGGCTTGACATCCTCCCGTTGGGCAACATGTGGTAGCGGCGACATTGGCTACAGAGAATATATGGCGAAACATGTGAATCAGGCTGTCGCAGCCGTCCTGCCCCGATTTTCCGCTTACCTACGTGAAGATGAGTCTGCATACGCTTCAGACATCAATTGGCATTATGAGGTTAGCGCTGGTCCGGCCCATCTTCGAAAACCTCCACGAAATCAAATAAATCTCAAGACGTTCGAGGGCGGGATGTGGCGAAGGGTCTTTTGGGCAGGAGAGCTGGTTGGAAGATGATGCAGAGTGAAAGCAGAGCTAGCTCTTTCTGGACTGTGCCCAAACTATGCCTCGATTACCTCACCAACGTCACATCACTCACCGTGACGTTTATTCACTACATCGTCTTAGTCTTTACAGTCCTCAACTCAACCTCAACTACTGCTCCTCAATCCCACCCCTTTTTACCGTTGTTGTATCCACCATGTCGTCCATATGGTGTCTCTCTCCAAGCGTTTCGATACGAAGCAACCACCAACTCTGTTTCCAAGTGCCAATCCAAGAACGTCAATGTCTGAAGACCCCGACATATTCTGTACGTGCCTTCTCTTCTTCTTCTTAAGACACGCGTTCACGGAGGTCCGAAAAGTGCTCACCCAATATATCGTGATTTGCGGAACGCCCAGGTCCTAGTACATCTCGGCGCTCGACTACACAGCGCCGGCTGTCGATCTTTTTGGGGTACTCTCCAGTCTCCTTCACCGACCACGACGAAATGGCGGACCCTTCGAAGCATGGTAGGGAGGACGAGACTGTTGCTGCTGTAGAGAAGGGCTACACAGCTGCTTTTGCCCCCACCACGCTCTCAGCCAAGCAGGCCAAGGTTGATCAAATCGGCAAGTCTTCTTTCGCATTCTGTTCTCTGGCTCGTTCTAACATTTTGCAGAGGACACCCTCACGGAGCGCGCCTCTCAGGTTTCCGATGCTTACAGCAAGCTCAATACTTTCTTCGCCGCAAACTCTGCCACAATCAACAGTGCCGCCAACGTTCTTTTCAACGTCGATGTTAAGTCGATCGAGGGCGCCATCACGCACTTTGCAGAGACGTCAGCGGTGGTAATGAAAGGCTTAGATGCGCTGAGTCAGCTTCATCCATTCGTTGGCGGTAGGTTTATTGGTCAATTGGAGCGAAACTGATATTCGGGTATAGTTGCGGTACAAGCTTTCAAGCTCGTCATTTCGTTTGACCTCACCCGTCGCCAAAACAACAAAAAAGTTCTCGCAGTCAAGTTGCAGATGCAGGATATGATGACAGTACTCTTCCAGTGCGCTTTTCATCTTTCTTCGTGTCGCAAGGGTTTGACTCGGTCAAAAGGCTGCGGAATGTACGAAACCCGACCGACAAGGGACCCGATGGCACACCATTACAGGACAGAATGGCGGCCGTCCTGCAGTCTATTGCCACTGACATAACTGCTTGTGGTAGCGCTTGCGATGTCTACTTGAAGAAGAGTTTTCTGGCTAAAACCCTCAAATCCAAAATCTACGAATCGCGCCTCGCGGGCTACGCAAGTACATTTGAAGAACATAAAAAGCAGATTGTCTTCGAGCTGCAGATGCATACAGCGCTTGGCGTCGATGCAGCAAACCAGAAGCTCGAAACCCAAGAAGGGCATCTCGTGTCGCTAGAAACGAAGCTTGAGGCAATCTTCAGGAAGCTGGACACCCCCAGAGAAAAGGACATGCGAGGATTGATTGAAGAAAAGGGCGGACCACGTGCCTGTGTCGAAAGTGAAGCAGCACTCGCTGAACTCGTGTTGAAAAGCGGAGAAAGTCTTGCCGGTGCGATGGGTAATGCAGGCGGGGAGATGGATTTTGCGAATGCCAAAAAAATATTGGGCAAGGAACTTGCAGAGGATGTGGACGAGTCTTTCCGCAAGAACTTGAAGCTATTCGATCGTAAACTCGAAATTCAAAGTCAACAACTCGAGGATGCCATCAGCATTACCGAAGAACACATCTTAACTGCCATCTCGGACGGTGCCCATCGTCGCATAGTGGACAAAGTACTATTCTATTTCTCTCTTGAATGATCTCGCTCATTAATTTTAGGATCTTCAAGAACTTTGGAAAAATGAAGGTTGGAACAGAAGCGTTAAAGCCAGGCATTTTGTTCTTGCGCTCAACGACTTTTACACCGAACGATTCAGCGCGCAAGACATTGCGGGTCTTGCAAACGCTATCACTGGCTCCGCTCCGCCGTCACCCATCATCTCGCCTGTGGACGGCACCCTTCTGCTCCCCGCACCAGCGGAAGACGACCGATGGACACTCTCATATATCAACGTGGCACATCTCCAGCCGATTTTAGAGGCAGTTGATGATGATGGAACTGGTTTCATCAGCGTGAAGGAGGCGAATGACTTTGCCTTGACGAAGCCGAAAGGCTGGAGGTATGTTTTGTACGGTTGCTTAACGCGTTTTTTGTGACAAACCTAATAGTCTGCTGCGCTGGGTCGCTTTTTGGGCTGCTGGCTGGCATCTTTCCATCACTTGGTACAAGAACCGCATTTATAATTTGCTTGAAGCTATGATGGACATTATTCCTCATGTTGCGGCAGGAAATGTCAATGCAGCAGGAAATTATTTTGCCACAGGTGCGATCCGTCGCATCGAACTGCTGTTGCGGTCCACCAAATCGACTTCTGCGAAAGACGCTTATGGGAAGGACGACACTGAATATGCCAAACTCAACGCAATCAAGGACGAGATCCAGAATGCCGAAGAGAAGCGACTCAAAAAACGTCTAGAGGGAATTTTATACGAGGTGGATGATGTCGCGACCGTTAGACTGGTTACAGGACCAAAACGAATCGAAAGAGTAAGTCCATTCCTTGGTTCGGGACAACAAACAGTAATCTTCATCTAGTATATCTACCCGTTGCTATATCTCATTCTCAAGCGGCACTTTGATATTCTGCGCCTTGCATGTCTACACATTCTTGACGACGGCGAATGGGACTCGATGACTGCGTCGCTCATGAACGTCATGAAAGTGGTGGATGAACGTCTGAAAAGTTTAGAAGGTCAGTGTGCATACTTGTGGATAACAAAGTCTCACGCTTGCTACACAGCCGTATATAAAGCAAATTGGCAAGATGTTGGTGAGCGCCTGGGTAACTTCGCATTCGGCATGGTCAGTATCGACATAACAAGATTGTGGGTCTGACACTGTCTGCAGTTCCAGCTTCTACATAGCACGCGAAAGCGGGATGTCATCAACAATACCATCGGGCGGTTTGTGGAGGAAGACGGATTCGGCTGGGAGGACGAAGATTTGAGCCCCGATTGGGATGAAGACGACCCAGCGACAATCAAGGCTACTCTTGCCAAGATAAATCCTGATATTTTGAATTACGACATTCAAGATGAACCCCACGATATATACGACTTCGAATCGGGGAAACCGAGGCCTTCCGGTGGAGATGACATGGATGGTATCTGGGTCGGCCAATTTGTCGATTCGGGTGGTGTTGCGCCACAAGGGACCGTCTCGCTGTCGTTAACGCGCAAGGGCAAAGAACTCAGTGGGATGCTTGAGTACTTTTTCGACACGCTCGATGTGGGCGGGACTGTGGAGGAAGATTCAGAAGACACGCCGCAGAGAAAGTTCTCGCTGAAGGTGGCGTGGTTGGATGGGTACTACACGCAGTGCGAGGGCGTGTATGATCCGGAACGTGCGACGCTGACGGGGACTTGGGTCAAGCAAGAGGAGGATGAGGAGAGTGAGAGTGATAGTTCTTATGAACCAAGTGAATCGGGTGGGAGCGATGAAGAGGAAGAAGAGGAGGAGGAGGAAGAGGAAGAGGAAGAGAAAGAGGAGGAGGAAGAGAAAGAGAAAGAGGAGGAAGAAGAGAAAGAGGTTGAAGAAAAGGAAGTGGAAGGAGATAAGGATGATAGAGCGGATTCGGAGCAAGAACGGGAGGGAGGCGAACAACAAGACGAAACGAGCTCAGTTAGCTCGTCCTCTTTTTCCAGTGACACCGATGACACCGACATCACAACTGGAACTTTCGTATTCCGTCGAACGCCACCCTCAGCTTTCCGATTCCGTTACACTGATGCCGAGTTCACTGCAAATCCTGCAAGAGCGCGGTGGAAGTTTGCCATCTCAACGACCATCAACAGTGTCCAGAGTTCCCGCATGACATGGCCATATCTAAAAAACCGCTTCGCCGAACGCAAACGATGTCTCGAGCTTTTCGCGCATTATTTGGACGACGATCAAAATGTTACTCCGTGGACTCCTCTCTCGGAGGCAGAAACAAGAGAGCTCACTGAGCTCGCTGGCAAGATATCTTCTGCAGATGCCCGGTTTTATTGTGACATGGCCTATTTTGAACTCCAAAAACGCATCGCTTTGTATGTTGTTGACATCATCTTGCTGCTGCCTCCCAACTGACTTTCCACAGTGGTGTTGTTTGTGACTCATGCGATCGCGAAATTCGAGACAGTCAACTTTTTTGTGTCGAATGCATCAGCGACGAGTACAATGAACACGTCGACCTCTGTTCCGCCCACTCAGACGAGACCCCGAGATACAAACAGCAGCAACACCAAAGTTCACATCTCATGATCAAGACTTATCAGCGCATCCAAGACGGAGACCTTTCATGGGTCATACCCGAGGCCACGGTTGTCGCAGCGCGCGTCAAGAAAGCTTACCGGGCATCCCGTTCTCTTCTTTCGAGGGTAGAGGGAAGGAATCGGATCCGCAAAACTTCCAAGAAGGCTCCGATATGTTGCTGTTGCGGAGATGTAATCACTGCTCCGTTTTTTGCCTGCATACGGTGCCGTGCGTGTCCCTCTCCTCTTCTCCGTCATACTGATGCTTTCATAGTCGAAAACACCTTCATCTGCACAAACTGCGATGCTAAGCAAGCCGCGGCGGCCAGCTCAAACCACACCCTGCTCCATCCCTTGGTGTATATTCATGATGGCGAGCGCCCTGAAGAGGAGGTCGAGGTCACGGAAGAGACGAGGCTCGCCGACCTTGAGCAGAAATTGTTGGGCCTTGACTCGAAAATTGTGGGGCTGGAAGAGAAGATCGATACGCGCTTTAGCTCGCTTGAGGCACTGTTGAGTGGAATCGGGGAGAAACTCGTGGGGAAAGTATAGCAGAACGTTTTGCTTGTCATGGCCTCTTTCCAACGTTCATCAGCAATGGTCAACTTCTTCTGTCTGCGCACTTGCAGCGCACCTACTACTTATTCCCACAAAATCTCACTGATCGGCTGCCACACTGAGAGAGCGCAGTAGTAGTTTGAGCGTCTGCATTTCCCATTGTCCCAATGGACATGTTGACATTCTGCTTTCTGGGCTGCGCCGTTGTGTTATTCTGCATTCTGACTCGACGCGGTTACCAACGACTTTCATACCACCTTCCCCTCCCTCCTGGTCCCGCAAAGCTCCCAGTCATCGGAAACCTCCTCGACATGCCTGTGGAGCGGCCATGGGAGGCCTATCATCAATGGAGCCGACAGTATCGTGCGTGCATTCGTCCGCTTGGTCTTGGCTCATGGACAGCAGACTCTGATATCATCCATTTGGATGTCCTGGGGACCTCTATTGTGGTGGTTGAAGGTGCGGAGGCCCTGAAGGAGCTGTTCGAACGGCGGTCCGCCATTTACGCGGACCGGCCCCGCTTTCCGATGCTCGAGCTCATGGGGTGGGACTGGGCGACTGGTGCGTTGTCGTAGCTTGTCCGGGCTCCGTCTCACCCCCCGCTAGCCTTCATGAAGTATGGTGCGTACATGCTCTGCCCAGGAAGAGTGAAACGTAGTTTGTAGGAAGTCGATGGTAGGGCCAAGACATTTCCCGCCCAAACACAGTATAGACTTTTTCCTCCAGGCGTGCCCACCGCAAGATGCTGCACGACTCACTCAACCCCGCTGCTGTCAGGGTATACTACCCACAACAAACTGCCGCGGCTCATGGACTTGTGCGGCTCCTCCTTCGTGACCCGGCGCCTGACGTCATGGCCGCTTTGAGACAGTAGGAAACTTTTCAGTCGTGTTTGCTCTTGTTGACTTTGCAGCAGCATGACAGCGAGTTTTATCATGGACATCACATATGGCATCAAGGTCCGTGCGGTCGGCGACCCGTACCTCAAGAAGATCGCAGAAACGATGCATGGCCTTTCGGTGGCGAACGTACCGGGGGCATTTCTCGTCGTGGGTTCCTTGCTACCGCAGGCGCGTATTCTGAATTAACTATTCTACTAATAGGACATGTTTCCCATATTGAAACGCGTCCCTTGCTGGTTTCCTGGTGCCAATTTTCACCGGCGCGCTGCTAGATGGCGCGCAGCAACTCTTGACTCTGTGGAAATGCCGTTTCAGGAGACGAGAAGAAATATGGTGAGTTGTGTAAACCTCTTTAGCAGCCACTACTAAACGCGAAAGATTGCGGGGACTGCCATTTCATGCTTCGTTTCAGATAGTCTCGAGCGGCTTGAGCCAGAAGAGCGCACGCCTCTGGACTCGAATTACGCCAACTTATCACGAGAAGAAACAGTGGTCCGCAACGCAGCCGCCGCTATCTACACCGGGGGAGCAGACACCACCGTCGCCGCATTGGGCTGGTTCATTTTGGCTCTGTTGGCATATCCCGACGTGCAAAGGAAAGCCCAAGCTGAGTTGGATGCTGTCGTCGGGTTCGGAAACTTGCCAACTTTTGAGGATCGCGCTACGCTACCTTACCTCGGTGCGCTTATAAAAGAGGTGCTCAGATGGAGACCGGTTGGCCCGATTTGTGCGTGTTTAGTTGTCGGTCAGAAGTATTAGATGCTCAGGGTCTGAAGCGATTCCCCATTATGTTGCTGTCGAGGATACCTACCGTGCATATCGCATTCCCGCGCACTCGATAGTGGTCGGAAACGCCTGGTCGGCAAATCACTAGCATCTCTTCCCCACTCATCTCTCTCACAGGGCTTTTCTCCATGATGAGGTACCGTCCACTTAGAGCTTGCCAAATCTGACCTCCACCCGGCAGAAAGCATATCCGGATCCCGAGTGTTTCCGGCCCGAGCGGTTCCTTCGCGCCGGCCAGCTGGATCCGGAGGTACGAGACCCAGAACTGGCGGCATTTGGATTCGGTCGAAGGTGGGGAATGCCTTTGTTCTTACATAGTTACCGCTATAAACGAATCTTAGGGCCTGTCCCGGTCGATGCATGGCCATGGACAGCCTTTGGATCTCCATCGCGACTGTTCTGGCAACGCTGAACATCTCCAAATGTGTCGACAAGAATGGGATGACGGTAGAACCCGCCTACGACAACTCTCCGGGTGTGCTTTGGTTTGTGACAAGCCGCCATACCCCTGCATCTTCTGACTCGTGCTCAAGGAAACCTGCACCATTTACATGTTCCGTTACATTACGCTCTACACAGGCACTCCAGGCTATGAACGGCTGAATTCGCCTCGGAGTGATCAATTCCGCGAATCAACTACTATATTTACTAGGTGTTTTTGTGACTTGCCAACGACTGAGATTCTTAGAGTGATAGCAGATCAGACTGGATCTCTGCATCAATGATGAGTTCGCAACTTGACCAAATGCTCCATCCAGCTCTACACACGAAAAGCTTTCAAAAGCTTCCTGCAGCTATCAGGGTGTGTTTCTGCACGTAGCTTTCCTTGAATTTGACGCGTTTGACGCGCCTCCTTCTCAGCGGTTGGCGATTTCCGCATATCGCGACACTGCGACCAACAGTGCAAGTAGCGCTGGCTTTCTCGGCGCCCACGGGCGGGCAGGACACACCGAAAGTGAGGACCCCCGAAAATACGGTGTTAACTTGGGTACAGATTTGGACACAATTAGGTCCAAAAGTGCCTATCACTTTGGCACCTCGTGCGGACAAATTTGGTCAAGAGTCGGTCCCAGTTTGTGACCAAGTCCGGACAAATTTGCCGGCCACCAGAGCGGCCAACCGGTGACCGACACCCGGACATAGTCCCTCGTGGTCCCCTAGCCTAGTGGTTTTCGCGCTCGCTGCATCCTGCGACGATCTCTTGATCGATTTTCGCTGTTTCACGCGTTTCCGCCTGAATTCACGCGCCGTTGATCCCATCAGCGATTTTGATGCCGCCAAGAACTTTCATACATGTTCGGACAAATTTTGCCCAAATTTGGCCTCTTGTTCGGACAAAATTGGCCTTCGGAGGTATCAAAGTCCCAACCGTATTTTCGGGGGTCCTCGAAAGTGGGATTATTGCCCGTGTTATGTCCATCTCGATCCTAAAAAGGTTCCGACGGTCGAGGATGTTGAATCCGGGTCAATTTCACCACCAGTTGCGGAGACGATTTCCAAAGCGCTTGCAGCTTGGCGTGCGACGTTTTCCCTCTTCTACGCTACTCCGGCCGCCGCAAATTTCTGGCCTCGGATATCAGTATGGGGTCCCTTCTTCGTGACCTATCGCGAACAGATCGCCCATCTGCCGAATGGATCGACATGCGGCCATACTCAGAGCATATATTTCCAGTTTATGTTCATGGTCAACAGCACCCAGCGGGACAATAAGGCGCTGCGACCCCAGATATTCGGCTTTCCGGGACTAGTGGCCATGGTTGGTCCAGCCTGGGCCGAATATGCCGCCCTGAAAAACGACAACGTAGTGCTTGAAGCATTGTGCGAGGTGCTACCCCAGCTTCCGGGGCAGTCTTCGACGTTGTTGACGGATCTTATTGGGTCTGTCGGCGGCACTATTCAGGACCTTGCATTTTGCATCGTCCGATGCATCTACGCGCATATATACAGTTCTCACAAACGACACACCGGAATCGTGGTACACCAACACCATGGTCAGCTTTCTCTCCACCCTCGACAACTTCTCCACGGCTTGTAAAGACTTCCTGACGACATCGACAGTGCTGCCCCTCTTAGCGGCAGCAATCCGCCATCGCTTCGTTTACCAGCTCACGCGCTCCCTCGTCATTATTTCGAGGCGGCTGGACGACGACGATACTCAGGATGTTGTGCACCGTTGTCTCATGGTCATCATACACCTTATATTTGGTATAGAGCACAGCAAGCAGGCGCTGGACGAAGCCCTGGAGGGCGGCCTGCTCTCTGTTGTCGCACAATCAGTCAAATGGGGGATTGAACCATGCCTGTAGAAGCGCGTCAGGACACTGATGGGCCTGCTTCCCCCCACTCTCATTACTCATCAACGTCTTATACTCGTTGATCGCGGCCTGAAGGAAGCCGAAGAGGTCTCCATGGGGGCCACATTTCGCAAGGGCTACATCGTATCCGCCTGGGACGAGGTCGCGCGTCTTACTCAGCGGCGGATGAGTGCCCTCCAACAGAGACCCAAGGCGGCTTGTGATAACCTCAAAGTAAGGACAATGCAAGTTCAAACACATTCTCCAATGATGTCTTGTGTAGTGCGGGAAAATTGGCGATCGAAAGTCATTTCGTCGCTGCTCAGGTTGTCTTTTTACCTATTACTGCTCTAAAAGCTGCCAAAAAAGCGACTGGGTCGTTGGTGGACATGACAAGAAATGTTCTTCCGACACGACTCTGATCCCTAGTACGTGTGTTCGCCCCTTCTCGTCGTCCTTTTCCAGTAACATTCGCAGACCAGAATGACCACTCCCAGCCCTCCGCTCGCGACAGACGCCTCCTCCGCGCGCTGCTGCAGGACTTTTATGACGCGCACTATACGGACTTTTACTCGGCGCGCTTGTTATGTCTTGACACCAGTGCCGACTCGAACGAGGTGGCGGTCCCGCTCATTGATTTCGCGCTTTCGTTCCCCAATCTCGACCAGCACCGGAAACTGTGGAGATACACTTCTTCGACAAGAGACTAGGTTCTAAGGCTGAGGCGGGGCAAACAAAGCCTGGCTCTGATTCTCCAGACGCCAAGTCCGAGCGAGATGTGCACACTGCCAAAGATAACCATGGCTCAGACGCCGAACCGGTAAATGAGCGGCCTGGCGACGCACTGGACGCCCAAACCCTGCGGCAAGACCTGACCAACCACTCTGAGTGGCCTGACATTTGTGCACGTGCCGTCTAAAGCGACGACGGGCTCGAAATCCATGCAGTTCGGCTGCTGGTCAGTGGCGTTGTCTGGAACGTGTGTGTCGTCCCCTTGCGGAGGAACGAGGCCGGGAGGGAGTTCCGGAGGCGCCTGAGGCAAGAGCTCGGGGTGTCGGGGTTGGCCAACAAGCTGTCCAAGGAGAAACTGAAGGAAGAAATAATGCGGATCCGGGGCGAGCGTGGAGATGTTCTGGAGATATATTGAAGGGACTATTTAATGCTAAATATGAGTGAACCACAGAATGAGTGTGTTTCGTAGTGTTATGCTCAACAAGATGCATCATCAATTTCGTCGGTAGTAAACTCGAGTTGGGCAATAACATCCACCCAGACTGCACGCGGCCGAGAAGGCTTCGGAGCAGAAATTTGGCCACAATGCCCGGTATCGCATGATAAACGGGGAAGTCTAAGCTCTCCAGTGCCATCCTGGGGCTCTCCCGGCTGTCTTTCCTCGAACACTTGTGGCGGCGGTCGATCCTGATTCAAGGGCGGGGGTGCTGTGGGCCGTGGCACAGGGCTATACGACCAAGCGCCAGGCATCGATATATCGGGAAAGACCAACTCGGCTTGGGCAGAGCGCGGAATATTTAAGTCTTGGTTGTCGACAAAGACCGGATAATTAGTCACATTGATATGCTGCTGCACAGGCGCCGCGCAGTGGATGGGCAGCAGATCCTCGGGCGACTCGTTGGGTGTGAGCAAGCCCAAAGCAAGGCTGCTTAAAAAGTCTGTGTATGAGCTTTCGGCGGCGTCTGGTAAAGGCTTCGCCGCTAGTGTTGCAAGTGACGCCGAAAATGCTGCTGAAAGGCGGTCGTTGTTCTCGGGGGTGGATGGCGTGGGAGGACGCCATGCATCGACGGTCGGGTAAGACTGGAATCCAATCATGCGGATGGTAGAGGCGGTGAGTCTAAGAGCTGTGGGTAGTTGTGGAAGACGGCGAGCTTTATGAATCCTTTTATACTGCCGCCAGAGACCCAGTCAAAGCAGCCAGCGACGCGTGGGCCAATGCCAAGGACATAATCGCGAACAAAGGCCTTTGGAGGCGCGTTGGCCAAACCTCGTCCAATGAAGTGCGTCAAAGCGAAAGGAGGCTGCTGAGCGTCGAGCTTGGAAGTGGCGAATTGCATGTGTTGTTGACCATATTTTTCACTATTTTTCAGCGAGTTCTGGACAAATGTCGACGGAGAAGCCAGCGGCAGCCATGGTCATCTTATGTAGACGAGGTGCTTCGGCATGTCGGTGATGCACTGATATGTGCAAATTAGAGCTATAAAGCCTGATCGTACGCAGGCTCATACCCAGCCCTCGTTGCAGAGCTTAATCCTAGAGCGTGTATTTCAATCTAAATAGTATCAGTTTTGGGGAAAATCAAAAAAAAGTGTGACAAATGTGACGGTTTTGGGGAGGTGCGCTCTGCAAGAGGGCTGGCGCAAGTAACCCGGACCGAGCACCGAAGCGGTGCAGTTATCCCCGGATGCGCCTGTGACGCAGACGAGTTTGGCGTGGCCGACCGCCATGGCCCATGACATGCATGACACCTGGGCTGCTCTCTGTGTCCTCGACGCGGTCCCCTTGCCCGTGCCAACCTCTCCCTTGCCCAATCTACGGGCTTCATCCTCGACAATGCCCCGCGCTTGTCATCGAGTCGGTTTGGGGGCAGTGGGGATGGACTGGGGCTCCGGGACGTGGGCTCGGACGGTACAGAGACCGGAGCGGAGGGTTGGACGCGTCGACGGACGCGGGAGACTCGGTGAATGGGTGGGTAGACGCAGTACTCGACGCGCGACAATTTGGTTGAGCGAGACCAACCGGGGATAACTGCACCGCTTCGGTGCTCGGTCCGGGTTACTTGCGCCAGCCCTCTTGCAGAGCGCACCCCCCCCCAAAACCGTCACATTTGTCACACCTTTTGATTTTACCCGAAAACTGATACTATTTTAGATTAAAATACCGCCTCTCGGATTAGCTCTGCAACGAGGGCTGGGTATGAGCCTGGATCGTACGAGCAACATGGTGGTTGAACTCAAACCCAGGACCAGGTTTGATCGGATCATCTTCTGTGTGATCGCTGCTTGACCTGCACCTTCGTCAAAGCTTCGTTGTGCAACTGCAACTTCGCATTATGGTTGAATGGGCGGCCTTCAAACTTGGGAATAACTCGATTCCGGATTCGAACACTATATAACCTGCGTCCCTAAGACAGCTGGGGTCAGCTGTTCCCATTCTATTAACTTCGCCTCTTACGACCATGGACACCAACACTCTCCCACCTTTCCCAGACGACGTACCATCCCATCCATTGCTCGTCATTGACTATGCTTTGATCAAAGCGAACGACGAAGCCGAGAAAGAGCGTCTTTGGACCGCTGGGACCAGCCTCGGGTTCTGGTAGTGCGTCATTTGCCTTGGGATTCTGTGGAATTTGGCAGGCTAACTAGAAAATAGTTTGAAGAATCATGGAGTCGACAGCGAGGTCCAAGGGATGTTCGAAATGGGTGCAGAAACTATGGCGTTGCCCATGGAGGAAAAAATGAAGTACGAACAAGGAGATGATGGGGTCTCGTTTGGGTCAGTTACGCGTCAACAATATTGCGCTGCCTCTCCTCTGGCACTAACTTGATCCTAGGTACAAGGCAGCCGGAGCTAATGCGGTGGATGCCTCTGGTACCCTCGACACAGCACAATTCATCAATGTAGCTAAAGACGATGCTCTTGCCTGGCCACAACAAGCTCGGCGCTCGTATCCGCGCACTGTTGACGCTCGAATGGACATGACAATCAAGCCTTTCGTTGAAAAGGCTCTTGACGTCAACATGACGCTTATCGCAGTCTTTAACGACAAACTTGGACTCCCCAAAGATACATTGGCGAAGCAACATTTGCGGGAAGAATACAGCGGAAGTGAGACGAGAGTCCTCTACAGTCCACCAGCAGGCAAGGATACACAGGCGATCGGAGCACATACTGGTCAGTTTCAAGCACCCTTATAGCAGCAGGTTCTTATCCCATGTAGATTTCGGGTCCTTGGTACGTCAAATATTTGCAGTTTTTTTTTTTCACACGAATTCGTCTTTCTCTCACAGTCATTCCTGCATAACCGGCTTGGTGGACTGCAAGTTTTCGTGCCCGGCTCAGAGGATTGGCAATATGTGAAGGTCAATATATATTCTTCCAATGCTTCGAATTATATCTCATGGTCTTAGCCTATTCCCGGCCACGCAATTTGTAACCTTGGCGATGCAATGGCCATCTTTAGCGGTGGAATTCTGCGCTCTAATTTGCATCGCGTCGTGCAAGTCCTCTCAACCTGCCACGAGCTCTTCTTACTCACCATCGCCCGCACAGCTCACCACCAGGTCTTCAAAGCACGCATTACCGCTTCTCACTCGTGTTCTTCACTCGACCAGGCAACTCAATCGTTCTTCGGGCATTGAAGGAAGAGAGTTCCATGATTGCAGATGCCGTTGCGCGTGCACCCGATGCAGCGAAATATGAGACGGGTGCAACCTCGTTGGAATGGTTCACTCGAAGAATCAAGAACCAACGGATCAAGAATCGGACTGTAAGTTCTTCCTTTTGGCTCGAAAGCCGTTCAATATGAACTACATGCTGAACCTCTCGATAGGGACCTGAGACCTGGATGGCCAGTCGTGGGACCGAGCACACGGAGCATACGGCAGCAGGTAATGAGATCGAAGCCTCTGCCTAAATGCAGGTGGTCGATTCCCGAAAGTGCTCCTTGAAATATATAATGATATTGCTCTATTGCTCGTTGACCTCGAACCTAAGAGTGTCATTGTCTGAGGCCTCTGAGAGGATGAGCTGGCTCGCTCTGTCCCAGGTGGACAAGCGGCCGAGCAAACAGAACATGTACAATAGTGACCGGTCTGCCTTCTGTGTTTGGAAGTTAAGCAGAAGCCATTTTACTCTGGGACTCACACAAAAATATTACAGCTGATTTCAAGTGACAGGCGCGGATCAACAATTGTGCTACAGTCATGGCAAAAATATAGTACATTTCCTTTGGGGGTAGGCAGGCCATCAATGCATCAAAAGAGGTGCAAAAAGTGGTTTTTTTACTTCTACAAGAGTATACTACATGCAAGTAAGGCTTCTCACGAGTGTCACGGATAAATACCTGTACTCTACCTGCAGGTAATTTAGGCTTCAAAACCAATACCTGCATTTGCAGCATCTGTGGGAAACGGGTACCTGTACTCATGGATACGGGTACCTGCACGGGTTATCCATGGGTATTTTGAATAAAATATTGGGATACTGAGGTATATTGACAATAATAAGAGCTTATATAGTATATAGTATCAAGTAATATACGGATATGGACACCACAGGGCATAAGAAGACTCTAGTGACTGGAATATATGGAAGATAATGAAAATTGAGATCTTCCAGAGTCATACCTGTACTCTTGGCATCCGTGGGAAACGGATACCTGTATCCGCGGATGTCAAACCTGCAGATGTTTTCCTGCAGGTACCTGTGCAAACATCCGCAGGTGTTGACACTCGTGCGGAGCTTGACATGCAAGATACAAGAAATTATGTATGGTACATTTTGTAAGAGCAACCCCAGAGGCCTGACATCAAGGTCCTAGCAGGGGAGGATCCAAAGAGAAGAAACTCTAAGGGTCCACCTGCTAGGTAGCTGACTATATACTGCTTGTCTGTAGCTGCCGCTGTTAGGCATAGAAGGCTTGGGTGGTGTTACAGGCCAGGTCACAGGGCGACTATCGGAGGGTGTTAACAGTGATGAGTGCAGAGTGGGGACAGCAAATGAGCTCTGAGTCTCTAACCAATCTAACCCACAAAAACAACCAAACTCCACTTTTCGTAGAGAGAAAGATGTATAATGTTAAGTAGGAAAAGTCACAAAACCCAAAAATTATCTTCTCCTTATGCGAGAACAGGCCCCTGTGAACAGAGCCTTGGCACAGATGTGTAAGGTTGTAGGGTTGATACAAGTTTCTTGCAAAAAACATTGATTTTGTGTGCCCCAAAGCATACTACTCAGTAATAGAAAAGCACCAATACAATGCCCAGAGAGTTTATACTCGTTCAAGATCAGGACTAACTGCCTTAAACCCTCTGAGTTGTCTCAAATCAGGAACTAACTGCCTTAAACTCTCGACCAGCAACCGAAACCCAATAAACAGCAACCGGAACTCTTGTATTCAGCAACCGAAACCCTTAATTAATAAGACATGATGATACTATTTCAAAAGAGCTAGCAAGATAGATTGACAAGCTAGATCCCCAGATGCACCTAGTAGAGCGGGGCAATCCATGAATCTCCCAAATACAAGACGGTGATATAAATACTAAAACGAAATTTATAGAATCAGGGAAAATCATAAGTAAGAAAAGTAGTCCATGCGCATAATTGTATAGGTATTGTTTCACCATATGGCTGTCAGGGGAACCTCCCTTTCGGCCTGGAGACGCGTCCGATTCCGGTCCGACTCCGGTTCGGACTCCGGTCCGGCCCTCCATCTCGCCCGCACAATCACCGATCCGTCAACGCCCTCCCGACGGTCGCCCTGGGACCTCGCCTGCGACGCCGCCCAAGCCTTCTGTGCCCGACAGCGGCAGCTACGGACAAGCAGTATATAGTCAGCTACCTAGCAGGCGGACCCTTAGAGTTTCTTCTCTTTGGATCCTCCCCTGCTAGGTCAGCTTCATTTGTATTCGCTTACCAATGTTCACTCTTTGGATCCTCCCCTGCTAGGACCTTGATCTCAGGCCTCCGGGGTTGCCCTTACACTTTCCTGAGAAGTTGAGCATAAAATGTAGAGGCGGAAAATCACCTTACGGGACTTGGTTTGTTGCTTGAAGTGGGAAGTGTCCATGGGGTCGACTCCGCATCTAGAGGGGCTGGATTGGATGATACATTCGCACCAGGACCAACGGTTCGACACAGTTGGTAGTTGAAGCTACCTCTCGCGGCCAACTGGTCCATACCGAGCAACAGTTCCTTTGACTCTCGAGAAAACGAAAGAAAGACCCATGTACCAATGTTTGGAGTGTAGGATAGAACCCGCTCCAAATCTCGGTGCAAATTTGGATTGATGAGTTTTGAATAATTGCCAAAAAGGTGCAGTTTTCCTGTCTGGTCCTGAAGGAATAGCAGACGGCCATTGTCATCAACACCGGGGGGAGTTTCGTGAAGCTGAATCCTCCGACCCCAACGAACGCTACCACCCCAATCACGTATTTTCGGAATCAAGATCTTGGTCACGATTCCCGCAAGAGATTTTCCCGCAACTTTCAGAATAGCTGTCCGCTAGTTGCTCTGGTCCCAAGTCTCTTGCACTTTGCCGCATATTGAAACCGAAAGCTTGGCTCGGGTATGGATCATTGTTGTTGTGGAGGAATGTGTCCAGACGGGCAGAGGCGAAGGACATGGCCTGGGAGATCCATCGTAACAATGGGCACTTTGGACACGATCTAATCAAAGTACAGATGTTGAGCAAGGTCTCAAGCCCGAAATTGGACCAGTCGATAGTGGCGGCAATTACCGACTGTGGAAAGTGCAAAGGGTTCGGCCCATCTCACCTACATTCTCTTCTCGAGCCGATCACACGGTGTCACCCATTCGAGCTCATGGTAACCGACACATTGTCAATGCCGCGGGGGCAAGGGAGGGTATACAAAGATTTCATTGTTCATTGATGTTTATGCACAGCGTGTTGTCACGGATAAGACCCGGCCCGTCCGCTCCGGGCGCTGGTGTCGGGCCATTGCGGGCCCGCAACACGCAGCACGTGACGACGGGGAACATGCGCCCCAGTAGGAGGAACGCACACGTGGGAAGCACGTGACCGAACGACGCCGTCGAGCCGTCGCCGGAGCCCAACTCGACACAAGGGGACTGGGGAGGAGTGCTAGGAGGTCAGGAGCAGCGCCTGGCCCGCAAGGGATGTGCGATCGTCCCCTCTGCGGCCAGGAACGGGAGCGAGGAGGAAGAGGAGAGGGCCAGGGTGTCCGATCACCCCCTTTGCGGGCCACGTATATAAGGCGCGATAGTGTACCCTGTACTCTATCGCTTAGATCGTCTGAAGAACTACCTTACTCCGTGCGAGGAGACGCTATCGACTCATCGGGCCCGACACGACCCGATTCGAACCTTCGACCACGACTACGGCAAGGGACCGAGTTCACGGGCCCTTTCGGTTTCGATCTACCCCCCGCCGCCGTACTTGCGGGCCCGACTACCCGTCTGTTCTGTTCCGGGCGCGCCGTTCTTAGGAGAAGTCCTTGCACGGCCCGACCCGCAGTCTGACACGTGTATGGGCGAAAAAGCTGAAGACGGCAGCATTAGGGCGAACAACAAAAGCATCACTCGAGCACCTCTTTGCCGAATACCCAGCACCAGAAACACTGATGGCGGACGGCGGACCAGAATTCGACAACGAGGAAGTGCGGAGCTTCTGTAGGACAAAAGGAACAACGCTGCACATCACACCCAGCATACTCTCCATGGGTAAACGGTCTCGTAGAAGGCATGAATGCCAAGTTGCTGGCAATACTGAAGCGCATGTGCGCCCCCGACCTTGGAGAAGATGCAGGGTGGGAAGAACTGCCAGAGAAGTGGCCCGAATATTTGGACGATGCAGTGGAAATACTCAACAATCGAATCCTGCCACATTTACGCTACTCACCCAATGAGCTCTTGTTTGGACTTGTGGTGAATACTAACCACACACCAATAGACATTGCAGAGAATCCCCCCAGCAGGGAGGAAGTCAAAATTCAGATGGCTTATGTGGACCAACAACGACTCAATGGATATACGCAAATAGTGGAGCATGCCAAGCAACGAAAAGCTCGTTTCGACAACCGCGTCCTAGCCAGATCGCCAAAGGAAGTTGTGTTCAGCCCCGGGCAACTTGTGCAGGTTTATCAAAACGAATTGGATCACACAGTCAGTGTAAGGCGGAAAATGGCGATCAAGTGGACAGCTCCGCGTCGAGTGGTTGACCGCATCAGGAATTCGTACACCTTGGAGACATTAGAAGAGCTGCCTATATCGGGGAAGTTTCATGCGCGGCGGCTGCGCCGGTTCATACCGCGCACGGGAACGATGCTTGCAGCACCTGTTTAGCCCACAAAATACTGTCAGTTATCAGTGGTAACCCGCCGGGGTGCCATTGACAAGGCTCAGTATTTTCAGAACATCCTCTGAGGTGAATAATTGCTGGGGAGAGGGGTGAATAAAGTTGAGTTATAAGGCAAAATTCGTACTAAGTCCAGAATGTAGGGGGTGAATAAAGGTGAATAATGCAACATAGGCCATCCAGACCAAGTCTCCCGAAGTCACACTATGTGACAGGTGACACAGCGTCCCAAAAAGGAAATTTTGTTAATAGACACTAGAGCTGATGGTTTCAGTGGCCCTGTTTCATAGTGTGCTATAGAGTGACAAGTATATCAAATTCCAAAAAAGGAAATTTTCACCATTTGACAGTACAATCATCAGAGAATGTCACAAATCATCACAAAATAATAGTTCTCTATTTTGACTATATGAACAACTTTCATTAAGTGATGGATAGTAGCAGCTGAATAGTTGTGTCAGCACTAGCCAATCACTAGCTGATCTGCAACTGTTGAAATGATATCTCCATAAATGGAGTAGCTACAGAGCTAATTGAAGTATTACTAAGTATACCTCAATGGGAGGGTCAATATC